TCTGCATGATCTGTTTGATGAGAACAGTGAATGATAGTCCAGAATATGGCAGATAGACTAATAATTCCAAATTTTATGCAATGGCATGGTTATAGAGCAAAGAAGAGATGACAACACTAAAAGTCATTAGCATATATATTATGGGCGGACACGGTGAGCTTTGCTCTCGCTTTTTACATCTTCTGCTGCTATCATACTGGGTCTGGAACTGTGAAAGTGGGCTCAGTGTTTCTCTAAGTGGTTGCTCGTCTAGTCTTCGTTTTAAAATATATCCTGGAAAGCAAGAATGGGGCGATTTATCGAGGAACATTTTTGGTTCTGATTGGAATAGTGCGTCGTTTTGCCTGGCCCTTAGGATTACAGATAACATGTTCTTATTCTTTCCACACTGGAATTCGACAATGCTCAAGGTGATGACCAGAATCAAGCGCTGTCATCGCCCTTGTTTGTACTATTCTAATTGCAGTGCGGCATTCCGCTGTGTGATGATTTATGACATTGTTTTCAAACTGAACCCGGGTCCCAATGGTCCATTAACCCGCAACCCAAACAATCTTATTACTGTGGAGCGGAGTGGAATGTCTCTCAGTGACAACAGGTCATTGAAAATATGCAGTTTGAATGCTAGATCGCTACGGAATAAATCAGCAGCCTTTGTTGAATTGGTGAATGATTTGAAAGCCGAATTGTTTACAATTTGTGAGACCTGGTTGTCCTTCAACGACAGTGCTGTTCTTAATGAACTTACCCCGACGGGGTACAACACTTTTTATCACTGTCCACGATCTGGCAGAAGGGGTGGGGGAACTGCACTGCTTGTGAGGAAAGGATTTGTCTCTAGCAAAATATCTTGTGTAGTTGTCAGAGTGGCTTGTTGATGTTAGATCTACTCGGCTACGCATTGTAATCATTTACAGGCCGCCTTCTTCACCTGTTCATCCAGTTTCAATTAGTACGTTCTTTGCAGAATTTTCTCTCTACCTTGAATCTGTTGTTATGACCAATGAGCCGCTGGTCCTCTTGGGCGACTTTAACATACATGTTGATGTGCCTACGGACATGGATGCCATACAGTTTAGAGATCTCTTGCATTCAATGGGCCTGCAACAACATGTAAAACAACCCACTCACATTCATGGTCACACCCTTGATTTACTTATCACACGTCAGTCTGATGTCATAGTAGCGAAAGAACCAGAGATAGAGAGATATTTCTCAGATCATGCCGTTGTCGTATGTGATCTTAGGACAGCTGTGTCTGCCTCTAAAGTCACGCACGCTGAGTTCCGGAAACTCAAAGCAATCAACAAGCAACAGTTTTTGGAAGATATTCGTAATTCTAGCTTATATCGTGACCCCCCTAATACTCTTGATGAACTTGTGGAATGTTACAATAATACTCAAAGATCAGTATTGGACAAACATGTGCCAGTCCGGGCTCGCCACATGAAGTCTCAGTCACGTCCTCCATGGTTTAATGATGAAATAGTGAAGGCGAGACGTGAAAGACGGAGTGCTGAAAGGAAATGGCGGGCTAGTAGGCTTAATTCGGATCTCGCTGTATTTAAAGCCAAATGAAACTTTGCATTGCATGTCATGAATGAGTCTAGACGGGCCTATTATAAACAATATATTGATGAGAACAGTTCTGACCAGGGAAGGCTTTTTCGGGCCAGTAAACGCCTTTTGAATTTTCATGTAGGTAGGGCTCTGCCGCCTCATTCGGATGTTCGTATGCTAGCAAATGAGATGGGGGAGTATTTTGTTCACAAAATCACGGCTATTCGGTCTGCGCTGGATGCGGATGCCAGTGGCGCAACTTCACTTGCCACATCAGCCTCAACGTGTAGCGAGTTTTCTGAAGTTTCTCCACTGTCTGAGGAGAGTGTACGGAGAATTGCTGCCTCATGTGCAAAGTCGTGCGCCTTTGATCCCCTACCATCGTCTATTATGTCCTTCTGTTTGGATGAACTGCTCCCTGTTATTAGGAAAATTGTCAACTTGTCTCTTGAGTCTGGCGTCTTTGCAGATGACTGGAAGAATGCTTTAGTTCACCCCTTGCTTAAGAAAGCAGGACTCAAACCTATTAACAAAAATTTTCGACCGGTGAGCAACTTGCAGGTTACATCAAAGATTACGGAAAAGTCCGTGGCTATCCAATTACAAGATCATATGACAGCCAATAACTTATTTCCTGTCCTCCAAAGCGCATATCGGCAGAATCACAGCACTGAGACCGCGTTATTAAAAGTTAAAAACGATCTTCTGCTAAATATGGACAAAGGTCACGTCACATTGCTTGTTAAGTTAGATCTCAGCGCTGCGTTTGATACCGTAGATCACGGTATTCTTCTGCACAGGCTGCAGTCCAAGCTCGGCCTTCGGGATAAGGCTTTATTATGGTTTAAATCTTATTTGGCGGGAAGAACGCAGCAGGTCTCAACGGATCGCTCTCTGATAAATTTAATCTGACTTGCGGGGTCCCGCAAGGTTCTTGTTTGGGCCCCCTCTTACTCACCATCTACGAGAGTTCGCTGTTTGACATCTTGAAATCTCATCTGCCATCCGTTCACACCTATACGGACGATACGCAGCTATATATATCGTTTAATCCCGTTGATAAGACCAGCGAGGCTGATGCTGTGATTGCGATTGAGAACTGTATTCGTGACGTTCGCGCATGGATGAGAGATGATAAGTTAATGCTAAATGACGACAAAACTGAGTTCTTGATCAATGGCACGGAACGACAGTTATCAAAGGTGTCCGTTGACAAGATCACGATCGGCCAAGCTGAGGTATCGCCTGCCTCTTCAGTGCGCAATTTGGGCACCTGGTTCAATTCTCATCTGGACATGTTGACTCATGTGTCTAAGACTTGTGCTAGCGCGTTTTATTATTTGTACAATATCCGGCACATTAGGAAGTATTTGTCTCGTGAGTCCACCGAGAGGCTTGTTCACGCGTTCATCACAAGCAGGCTTGACTACTGTAATGGTTTATTGTACGGTGCTCCTGAGTATCAAATTAAGAAACTTCAAAGAGTCATGAATGCCAGTGCTCGATTGGTTTACTGCGCACCTAAGTATTGTCACGTTACTCCTTTGCTAAGAGAACTCCACTGGCTACCAGTGCGCTTGCGCGTAGATTTTAAGATTCTCCTTGTTACATTTAAGATTCTTCACGGTACGTTGCGCCTAGCTATCTTAAGGATCTTGTCTCTGTCTTACCGGACTCACGTTACCAACTACGCCGTAACAATAATGGTATATTGTTAGAAAGACCTTGGCTAAGAACGAAGAAGACTTTGGGAGATCGCGCGTTATCGATGGCTGCCCCCTTTTTATGGAACAGTCTTCCTCTGCCAATAAGACAGGAAACATCAATCGACTCTTTTAAACGCTCTGTTAAAACATATTTATTTAAGAAGGCTTTTAGTTAGATTATTTATTTATTTATTTATTTTTAAATATTGTAATTTTACCGGGTAATTTTACTGGTTTTTAATTTAGTTATTAATAATATTGTAATGCACTTTTGAGTATTTTTATAGAAAAAGCGCAATATAAGTATTAAATATTATTATTATTATTATTATAAAACTAGTTTCAAGAAATTACTGGATTTGGTAGTAAGAACTGGCCATGAGCCAAACTTCTGTTAGTTATAAGAGCAAAATTGGTGGTGAGATACCAGCAAAACTATGCTATGATAACTCCATATGAATCCTTCTAAAATTAAGCTGCCTCTGAAATTTTACCATACAGGTCAATAAAAGGATTTATTTAGACCAATTTCTGTAACCAGATGGACAGTTTTCATCTTGTTTTTACCCGTGTCTCATAGATCACAAATTCAAATTTTCGTGAAGTCACACTTGTCTTCACTATTTTCTAATCGAGAAAGACAGTGTTTGTGCTGCACAGTGGTGTCATTAATTTGACAGTGTGTATGTACCACATTCTTTTTTTTTTTTTATCTGCACAGGGTACCCAAGCAGTCAAAAGAAGAGTTCCTTATTAAATGGCGAGATGTTCCATACAATCAGAGCACCTGGGAAAGGCCAGATGATGTTGTTACTTCTCAAATAAGGTTGACTAAAAGACCATTTTACATTATTGTAAGGCCTGCTGAGGAGCTAGTGGTTATGTCTGTTGTTTGTATTTCAAATACCATCATTTTTGTGTTTTGAGGAGTAGGTCAAGTTCCTGTGGATATTTAACCCATCCCTAGTCGTTTGTCGCCTTTTTATCTAGTCTTATGTTGGTATTTTAACCCTTTAGGTCCCAAGAGTGATAAACATCAATTTTCTCCAAACAAAATCAGTACATAATCAAGGGAAAAAGTTATGAGAACTGGTTAAAATGATCACCGAAGGGAAAATGCTTTGATCTTGTATCAAATTCTCCCGATCAATTCCTTAAGAAAATGTATAGAGAACAGTCTGGAGAATTTGTATGTGGACATTAAGGCTTCAAGGGTTAAGGCCATGTTGCTTTTTTGGAATTTTACTCCAACAGGGTCTCAGCTGTGGGCTTAGTACCTTAGCCTTCAATTAAATGTGAGGCTGAGGTTGACCTTGCTTGGTTACCAACCTCCTTTGATTTCTTATGCTTGCAAAATACTAGTTTACCCGCGAAGCGCAAACATATTTCTGGTTATCGCTTCTCTGCCTCTGAAAATTTCGGAGGGAGAGAAGCGATGACCGGAAATACATCTGTGCTTCGCAGGCTAAATACTAGTTAGCATTAGAACAACATTTACAAAAGAATGCAGAAGAGGTTGTATCAAAATAAGGTTAATTCAAGCCTTGTTTCCATCTATAATTCTAAAATGGCTTATTTCCCGCTAGTTGTTTTTGTTCTGTCAGCACAGGTGAAGTCTCTGACAGCGTGCCTTCTGTAAGAAGTTGTAGCACATTGTTTTGATAAACCCAAATAAATTTATTGTACTTTAAAGTTAATTCATACTTTTGAATGTATTGTTTTATTTTTCTGAAGTGACTTCAAGGACCACATAGCAAAGTACAGGGAACTCAGGTGAGGGAGTAGTTGTCGTTTATCAAAGCCACACTTTGTTGAAATAATTTTTTCATGAAGTTCATGAACCATTTCCAGCAGAAGTATTTTACTGTGGACAATAAAGGGTTCACCTTTCTTTCATGTGTTATAAATTTGCTTTTCTAATGACAGAATAGACCTCCTATGTTTTTCTAAGAACATCTACACTTCCTGGTATACTTCTCTCGCCTATGATTTGGACCATTAGGAACTAGAAACGTAGTGGGGGCAAATATATTTGACTAAACCACAAGACTGTTGAAATTTGAGGCGTCAGTAAATGCCCCAACAGGGTGAGGGTGTATTGTTTTTTTTTTTGTTTTGTTTCTATTTTGGCCCTACCCAAAACATAAATAATAAAGGGAGAAAAGGGCAAAAGAGACTGACTCCACCCTGACTGGCTTTTACTGACACCCTTATATTTCAGGGAAAAATCATTAAGTTGAATTATTTACCTTTATTTTGCTTTGAATTTAATAATCTGTGTAATGTATTGTAGAGATGCTTATGAAAAGAAGATAAGCAGTAAAAAGAAGCCCAGCAAACCAAAGAAAATGAAGAAGCCAGTGCCTATTGGGGATGTAAGTATTGCCAGCAGTTGTCAGTATATTTTCATTATTCTCAAATCATACAGGACCAGATTCAACCCACTGTCATGTAACTTTCTTGCACATCATGGTACATTAACACAAAATTACATAAAAATCCCACCTTCTCGGAGGACAAACCAATCAGGTTCAATGTGTTATAAAAATCAAAGAAACAAACAACATCTATACTGTCACAAGAATATTGGATGATGGTGGGTCTTAAAAATGAATTATTGTAACAATCATTTCTACTATTGCCAAAGAGAATCTGTACTAAAATGATTATTAATTCAATGAAAAACTCAATACTGAATAGTGAACTTAAAATAAAAAAAAGCTCAACAGAACTTTCATATTGCTATAATATTGAACTCAGCTGTATTAGAAAAAAAACAATGTCTTAAACACTAAAGATAAACTTTTAAACATCCATTTGATGGGGATTTGATCATGTTATTTGCAAATATGAAACCATCTAAAGTACAGCAATGGTATAGTGATTTTGGTAATTTATATGTCTCCTCGCATAATGGAAAACTTCAAATTAGCCTGAATCATTCCTGTCCAGCAAAACATGTTTAGAAGTATCCAGGCAATCTTGTTATAATAGCCTTCATTTTTGTATTGACATTTTGGCCCATTCGTTTGAAAATAATATAATTTGTTGGAAACTCTTTAGAAACGTATTCCTACTGATATCCAGACAATCTGAATCAGATCAAACTTTGTAATTCACTTAATGGGAATAGCTAACAATAAAGTTACGGGGTTGATACAGTTGAGGTTTTGTTGACATAGATCGCCTCTGGTTTCTGAATTTTATGTGAGAGAGGCTTTTGAAACAAAATATACCCTAGATCAGTTTTAAACTCTCTGAGAAAAATATCTTCTTAATTCTGCATGCCATTTCCCTTAATCTTTGAGGAAGATCTTTGATCTTTTGGGCTGGGGGTTAACTCAGCCTCCAAAGATAGGATATCCTTTTGAACTCCCCACCTCAGTGTTTGTCTTCAGTTCAGTTTCAGTTTCAGCTGTGGAATGTCCGTCATTCGACATAGGCCCTCCCCACTGACCTCCACTGGTCCATGTTTTGGGCGACACATTGCCAGCATTTTAAGAAACAATTCAAGTTGACTCTCCAACTTGTCCTTGGTCTTCCTCGGTTCCTTGTGTGTTCCCAGGGCATCCAGAATGTAATGTTGGTTAATATTGTGTATAATGTACTGTACTACATTGTTGTAACTATAATCTTTGAACCTAATAAAAAGTTTATATTGACATGTGTAGGATGAAGATCCTATTTCAGATTCAGAATCTCCAAAGGTTGATAATGCAGATAAACCTGTCAATGATGTAAGAAGCTTAAGTACATTTATTGTAACATAAAAATTTTACTTGTGTTAGTAATTGGCCTCAAAATCTGGTCATATTAAAGTGCTACTACGATCAAATTTGGGAATTTGTTTTTGATTACATATTTCGAAAATATATGTAAAAGTGACTTACCGTGCCAAGTTTGGAGTCCAAATATGATCTGGAAGTGTGTTTATTTGCACGGCAATTTTCGTAAATGTCTTGCCGCCATTACTCGATTCAAAAAATGACCGGGAGTAGTATTTGAAGGAGTTGGGGCGAGATGTGACGTAGAAACATCAACGCGACAAAACAAGGCAAACAAACGTGGCTAGGGACCTTACGATCCGACAACGGCGACGGCGACGGCAACGTGAGAAGTCTGGGTCGAGCGGGGCCACGTCGTGTTGGCGTTCCCGCCAAAATTGAGATTACGAATTTTACTAGCGAGAACGTTGACGACGGTCATTGATGTTTATCGTGTTTATGTCAACGAAAGTTTTTTAGAAAGCCATGCCAAAGTTCCGTGACACTATTCTCCTGGCTCATGCTTCCCGTTTGATTAACGCTGAAGAATTCGTGCTACTCTACGATTTACACAAGCCTAAAAATCCGGATTTACCGTACACTAACTACGAGTGCTTCGATCTCGACAAGATGACCGATGATGAATGTAAAACTGAGTTTAGATTTTACAAGAATGACATTTACAACTTGGCAGAGGTGTTTACTTTACCGGATCGGATCGTTTGCTACAATGGTGTAAATGTCGACATGGTTGAGGCATTGTGCATTTTTCTTAAAAGATTTGCCTATCCCTGTAGATACGTAGACATGATACCCAGATTTGGAAGGCCAGAACCACAATTGTGTATGATCTCAAATGCTGTTATGAACAAGATGTATCAAACATGGAACCGCCTTCTCACTGATTTGAACCAGGATTGGTTAAGACCCGATCATTTAGAGGAGTTTGCCGTTGCAGTTCACAACAGGGGAGCTGCTCTTGACAACTGTTGGGGGTTTGTTGACGGTACTGTGAGGCCCATATGCCGACCAGGACAAAACCAAAAGTGCTTATACAATGGTCACAAAAAAGTCCATGCTATAAAGTTTCAATCTATCGCAGCACCCAGTGGCCTTGTTGCCAACCTGTTTGGGCCTGTCGAGGGAAAGAGACATGACAGTGGGATGTTAGCTAGATCTGGAGTGTTAAACCAATTGCAACGATTTTCAGTGGACACAAATGGGAACCCCCTATGTATTTATGGAGATCCAGCATATCCTCTTCGACTACATCTGCAAGGACCTTTTCGAGGAGCTGGACTAACTCCCATACAGTCTGCATGGAATGAATCTATGAGTGAAGTCAGAGTTTCTGTGGAATGGATTTTTGGTGATATAATAAATTATTTTAAATTTCTGGACTTCAAAAAAAACTTGAAAATAAGTTTAAGTGCTGTTGGCAAAATGTATGTGACATGTGCCCTTCTTCACAATGCTCGTGTTTGTTGTTACGGATCCACCACATCAGACTACTTTGATGTTTCTCCCCCAGAAATTGGGGATTATTTTCACTAAGTCTGCCAAACAGGTTTTACAAAAGTTACATAACACTTTTCCTTTCGAAAATTGAACTGCTTTTTAATAAAAAAAAATTATACAATCGAGAAAGGCTAACATATTGGAATTAAAGTGAAATAAATGCCACCAAAACAAACTATTAAATGGGAACAAATAATGGTGAGCATGTTTACAGTGAGTAATGCAATTCTATAGTTGGATAAGCCCTATTGCCTTGATAAAGGCTCAGCCCCAGTTTTGATACTGGCATAACATCAATTCGGCGACTTTCAAAGGTTGGCAAAATTAAGCAACATTTCCCTTTACAACTATATATGTAAACAAGTGATTATTATTATAACAAGTCTTTAATTTTTAACTTCCTTGAAAATGTTCAAGTTAATAAAATGTGAACTCTTTGTGCATTTAAATGATCCCTTGCAGAGATTGACCAGCATCACTTCCCAGCAAACTTTTTCATTAGTTCCATAAGTGCAAGGGTTTGTTGTTGGTGCTGTTGCATCATGTTTGCATTCATTTGCATAAACTGCTGCATTTGCTGCTGCTGAAGCTGCTGAATATCTCTAGTTTGCTTGTTCATCATATCAAACTGCTGTTGTCTTCCTTCCTGCTCCTTTGCTTGCAGTGCTAACTCTTGCCTTTTTATCTCCAATTCATCACGTTTTAAAGTAGCTTCTACTTCTGCCCTATCCTTCAGGTAAGCCAGAGTGCTTGCACCACTAGCTCTACCCTTTTTCGGCCTTGCTCCTTGCTGTACATCGGCATTCCTTTTGGCGCTATCTTTAAAAGTTTCCAATGATCTCTTCCGCATTTCCTCTGCTTTCTTTGCTTCTTCTTCCTGCTTTTGTTTTGTTTGATCTGTGATTTTGTCAGACTCATCAAAGAGTTCAATGGTTTCATCTAACAGTTGATCTAGTTCCTTGTCCTCTTCAGGGGCAATACCTGAGGCTCTGTCTTCTTCCCTGACTTTTTTCCTTCTTCTCTTTTCCATTGTTGAATAGTGGTCACGAACAGACCGTTGGGTAACACGGAATTGGGGATAAGGAATAGCATTTAAGGATACTGCCAGCTTTTCCCAATCATCTCCTCTCTCACTAGTTCCTTTCTTGTGCAGCCATGGCTGCAAAAGCATCAATTCCCTCAACATAAGCAATTCGTGTTCTTCAGTCCATTTCATTGATTGACTGAAAGTGCAGTGCAACAAAAATTACTTCATGAGGAAGAACTATCAGTATATCAGCAAAATTTGCTAACAATAAAATTATCATTGTATCTGAGATTTACTAGCACTTGGTCCTAATCATGATCAAAATTTTTAAAACAAATAACATAACTTGCTTTGGGTGGTATTAACTAGATCATCATAATATTAGACAATATCTTTGTTTTCTTTAGTCCTCCAATAAATTAGCTGAACTTGTTGACAGATAAAGAAATGATCATGAGAATACATGATGGTTATCCTTTGCCTTCCGAATGAGGGAAACATATACAATTAAGGTTGGAAGGACGCTTTCAAATGAAAACAGTCATGAATTACTAAAAAATGTGTAGCATTTGGAGCAAAATATTGGGCAATCAATAAAGTTTGGATTTTGTAAAATAATTCTTATTTAATTAGGAAACAGTGGAAATTATGTGAACGTCTCTGTTTTGTATTTGTTTTTGATTCAGTTATAAATATAGCAATAATATTTGCGGTAGTCGGAATTCGTCGATATAACTGTTCAACCCAGCCAGTGAGTTCCTTGTAAAATAAGGTTAATCTACGATTATAAATGAAAATTAGCTCAATGAAAGTATTTATACACTTTGCATCGGTCGAATCTAGTACCGCTGCCGACAAAATCTCTCTACTATTTCCTAGTAAACCCAAAATAAAATTAAGCTTCATTGTTCTCTTTTTTTGATCGAGAAAAAAGTTGGAAAGTAAGTGATAAGAAAGCTCAGTGATAGCGAGTGAAGTACAATCACAAACAAATACAAAGCAAAACAAGTCAAATCTCTCTCCATTCAGTTCGTGGTCGTATACAAAAGACTCCACGCTCTGTTCGTTTTGGACATTTCATACAAACTAGTATTCTTTAAATTTAGTCGCAAAGTCTCGTTTTTACCTTGATTCCTTTGCCATAATTGGGTTTTAATTTCCACGTTTTCGCACAACGTCAAACAAGGCTTCTAGACGTCCGCGCGTGAAGGGACACCGCCGTCTCAGAAATCTACTCATGCGCAGTACGTAACCGGAAGTAAAAAAGTCCCACGTCGCCGTCGCCGTTGTCGGATCGTAAGGTCCCTATTTTCGCATGCAGGACGAGATATTTTTGGAAGCTTTTGGAGGTTCTTTCTTCGCTTTTTTGACTTAAAGCGAAAGTATGCCTGGTAGACGTTGTGTTGTTCAGGACTGTGGAAACGTAAAGAACGAGGAATTGGGGATTTCTATTCATAATTCTCCTGATTCGGGCAGCGTTAGATTAAAGTGGAAAAGGTTCGTGTCCATTGATCGGAAGGATTTCAACCTACTGGGAAAATTTGCTGTGTGATAGGAGCATTGATAGGAGATTGTTTTACGCTTGCTTTTCCGATGAAAGACATGAAAAGGAATTTGAAGAAGGGGACGTTTCCACCCATTTGGAAAAAATCCTCTCAAACACTATCAAAGCGGAGTCGACGATCGGTGAGTGAAATTACAATGTATTTGCGCTGTGCTTATCACCATTATATTTATTTCCCCATTTACCTGTGACATGATTTTTTCTGGCATCGTTGTTCAATATTCGTGTAGTGAATGTTCTGACTATTTGGACTTCCCATAGTGTTGCATGTGTTTTCATACTTTTCTGCTTTCTTCTCGTAGTTATAGTAAAACAGGCATTTGCGCTGAGTGGACGTGAAGTCAATTCCCCAATTCCCAGACCTTTCCACTCAAGCGTAAAATTTAGAAAAAGTGAAGCTACATAGAAATCCGGCTCTCTATTTTTTGAGAGATTATTTGGCTGTTACTTTGAGATTTGACAGTACTCCAAACTTCCCTCCAAGAAATCTTACAGCAAATTAAGAGTTACACGCGAGTCTTTTAAAACGACCAAAAATGGACTTAGTCTGATTTCTACATTCTATAAGTTCAGTTACTGTTTCCGGTTTTTTTTTCGTTTGTATTTTAATTCTATTTTCACTGTCTGCAAATGATGCATACATTTTAAGGCAAAGATGTGTTTAAACCTTGCTTCTATTTCTAGTTTTGAAAACATTGACATAAAGCTCAAATTTAAACTTATTTTGAAGGGGAGATATAAAAAATGGTCGTACCTATTTTCATTTTTAGCTACTAAATGAAATTCTGGCTGGTCAAACTACTAATGAGGATACAGAGGAAGAAGACAATCCTGAAGAAGAGGTGATCTCTTTGAAAGGAAGTTCTGCACCTGAGAAGAGTGCTGACACTATGAGGGTTCCCAATCTCAACCCTGAGGAGTCTCCAGAAGTCGAGGGTGTTCTGAATACAAGTCAGGGTTCTTTGCTTGAGGTAAATCCTGAAAAGGAGGGCTGCATCCCTGAGACTGAGACGGGTGAGATAAGTGTTGAGGCTGAGATGGCTTCAGAGGTCCTAGGTACTCCTGGTGATAAGACAGCTCTCGAGAGCCAAGGGATTTCAGGCACTGATGAGGTTACTGAGACCATGCAGATCCTGGAGGCTCAGGGAATCGAAAAAGTGCAGGATATGGATGAAGTTATGCAGATTGATGAATCATTAACGATTCCTGAACTTGAACAGGTTTCTATGGTAGGCGCATAACTCTAATTAATGTTTATTTGCATCTTTGTATTATCATAACAATGGAAAACTACATGTGCAGTTATTTTACAACAATACTAGAACACAAAAATTCTTAAGTCTTGTTATTACAGCCTGTATTCATGTTGAAAGTTTGTTTTTTGTAGGATACTCCTACTGGACATGCTGGGAATTGCACAACATGCAAAACCCAGAGGAGTGAGGTGACTCAGTTAAGGGGCAAAGTCACAAGACTGAAGAGTAAGTTAATCTCCAATCAAGATCAGTGGGTTGAAACCTTTAAGAGCATACAAGAGCCGAAGCAGTTGCTGATGGTGAATGCTGGTGAGTCAACAACAATTGATGTTGATGAGTCATATAGGCATAACTGCCTGTCTTTATATTTTTATTATATTTTATCAATATTTGATTATTTAATAATAATTAAAATTTTAATGGTGATAGAATTTAATTCCATTTGTTTAAGCTAGTCAAACTGATCCATGGCCAGTAACAAATGAGACAGAGTTAGGGCTAGAGGGTGAATCAGAAGATGAACAGGAAATGCAGGACGACGCGTATGAGGAGTTTGAGTGTGATGAAGACCCTACATGGAGTCCTGAAGAAATCATAGATGCATATAAAAAACTAAAGGAAGATGATGACTCGGTGAAGACTCATCAGAACCCAAGGTACAAAGATGCAAAATTTATTGCATTTTAACATCTTAGCTCTAAGTATCCACTGGAAAGTGATTTAGGCCTAAAACTAACTTCCAGTATGAGAGGATCTATTTAGAAACAAGAGTACATGAAATTTGTGTTTTAATTTACTCAGATAAGAATTGTCAAAAAAAAAAGAAGAAGAGGCATAGCCAGCCCATAGACTGGAAGTCTTAGGCCTAAAAATGTTTGGTTTGTCCACTCAACCACTTGTAATAATTAATTATGCATCGTTGGGGTGGGCTACATAGCTTAAGGGCTCAAAGTTGTCATGTGTGCAATCAACAGAATTATTATAAAAAAGCATTTTTCAGGATGTATGTGAGAATAAAATCTCAACCCACAATTAGCCAGGTTTACAACAAGTTGAAAAACTGGCAACACCATGAGGAAAACAATAAAATTGATAATCATTTTTTTTATTGTTATTTTATTATTTCAGATGCTATGATTAAATGAGTATTTCCTTTCAATCATTTTTTACAGGTTGGATCTACAAGGAAAAAACATTCGAGAGGAACCGAAGGGAATTGTTTTCCTTTCGAAACTTCTTCTTTTATTTCAGTTCTGCCACTTGCGCTTCTTTTCAAAACCCAAACTTTCTGTATCACAGACAGGTACCTTGTTAACCGTAGAAAGTTTCTGCAGAAACTGTAGCCAGACAAAAGTCTGGAAGAGTCAACCAGACCTGCTAGGAAAGTTTCCAGCAGGTAACCTGCTATTAAGTTTTGCAGTGCTCTGTGAGCCGAGTGAAAAGAAAGAAACGATACATTAAAACTGTAATTAAATTCAGGCTGAATTCGATTTAATTTTTATTACTTGTGTACATGAAAATTGGAGCAACATCAGAATTCCCAGCCACTAAACTTGAGTTTAACTGAACACTAGAAGAACAGGGCTTCACACAGTGGGCAAGTTTGTCATTCAACAAAAAGCGAGTAAGTGGCTGAGAATTCTGAAGTTTGGCCCATAAAATTGAGTGCTTACGGACAAGTATTCAAGCAACTACTGTAGGTCCTTCTTGGCCCCAATGGCATACATGACACTCTTCAAGAACAAACAGTGCATTTATTATTCATTTTCATCATCTTCGAATCCACGATAACGGCCATTTTGACTCCGAAATTGTTTCCTGATTTTATTGTAGGCACAACAGGGCAAGGGGTATCGCCTGGAACTACCAATATAACTCCACAGCAGTCTTGTAAATTGGCGATAGGCCACAGACCTCAGGAATCTAGTTAGGGAAATGAGATCACTGTTAATTCAAGGAGGGATTGGATGGAGATAAATAAATACTTCTTTTAAAAATAAGCAGTTGGGGCAATAAAGCCATTTAGAAAATAAAAAATGTGATTCTATGAGATCAGTCCACGGCGATAAGCTTAGATGTATCAATTATTCAATGCTATGTAAGATTCGATCGTTCCGATACAAAGTCAACAATACCCCAACTTACTCATCATCACTTTTGTTGCTTTGCCCAAGAACAGTAGTGAACGACTTTCCAGCTCGCGTTTTTAGGCCCAGTGCAGCCACTTCTAATACGTGGCGGTTTAAGCAGACGCTTTCAAACCCTGGATGGAGGGTTATGCATACGGTCCGGTCTCCAATGGCTTCTTCCATGACCTCTTCGCAGCGATCGATCTCTTTGCAGCAAATGCACTCCTGCGCTTTTGTAACAAGGCTGACAGAGCAGTTCGAGCACGAACAACTGCAAAATAATGTGAAAAATTCGTCAAACACGAGAAAAATACGTCTGTATAAAATTATTAATTGTCTGACCTCTTCAATAAAACTATCGCATGAAATCAGGACTTACAGTTAATCACATAGCAACGAAATTGTAAACTTAAACAAAACACATAGTCGCGTTCGTCACGCGCACGATTTAACGACGGGTATGTTGAAATTGGAAAATAAAAATATAAATCTACATTCCATGATAATACCATACCATTCATTCGCTGGCACCTCTCCCGAACATCTTCGTTGAAACTGTTGTTCCTCTTCTTCTTCGCGATGAACTCTTTCGTTGTAGACCGTCCGCGGCTTCTTCCTCGGTAGCAAGGGGTTCGCAACTGTCGTCGTACGGCGCAAATTCAGACAATTCCCCAATCACTTCGTCAACTGTAAAACTTTCTAGATCACTTTCAGATGTGCAGGAAGAGGAATCCGACGGAGATGACATCTTAAACGTCTTGTTAAAAGGCTCTAAACTCACAAACTTTTCCCACATGCGAATCTTTTGGTTGATGTTTCTACGTCACAGTGCATAAATCACGTGGTCAAACGCACGACCGCTTTGCGGAAATCTCGCGGGCTATTGTTTTGCGAACTTTGTAATGGCGGACGGTAATTACGCACTTTTCAGTGGGAAATTTCCAGCCCCCGTACGGAAGTATCGTTCCAATTTCTCGCTATTTGTATAATTTTGAACATATACAAAAGATTTATGTTAAAAAAACTCGGAAACAAAAACAAAAATTTTCGTCGTAGTAGCACTTTAAACAATCTGTGTTAAAAGCAAAATGTACTCTTGTTCACTAACTTCACAAATAATATGTTAAAATTTTTAACTTTCATTTTCCTTTTAGAATGATTTTTTATAACTCAAAATGAATGAAGTTAACCTTCCATTGCTAAAAGTAACCTCAGACATTTAAACAAACATAATTAAAGTAACCCTAGCTTGCTGTACCCATTTTTTTTAAAAAAATTGTTAAGTGACAAAAAACCCTTCATTAATCTTTACATTAAAAGGAATACATTTAACAAGTAAATGCTAATGTTCACAGCCTACCTAATAGTCAGTTAATATTTTTTGAATAAGCCAGCAGATATCTAGAATATGTAATACAACAAAGTTAAGCCAATCAGAATTTGGTCAGCAGATTCCTCCCTCTCTCATACCTTGGGTACTGATACATAAAAATAATGCCTTCCATCTTTCTTGTGATTATGCTGGCATAACTGCACAGATACTTGTATCCAAGTCACTGTTGCATGCCTGAATTGCATAAACTACTCTTGGTTTAAACTTGTTTTCACTGTATATGTTACAAAATACCTTTAGGTCGCACCACTGACTCAATAGCCCATGTTCGATAAATTAAAATTCTAACATGACTCCTGGGTTTTCTGGTAATTTTTCTTTATTTGGTTTAGTGCTCAAGTCTCTTCAGGAAATTGCGAGACATTGGGGTCATAATATAAATTATTTATTAAACTGTTTTGTAAGAACAAAGGTACTGTTCACAAACAGTTCTGGTTTGTCCTTACAGCCACGTGACAAATATGAGGAGCAACCAGACTTTATAACAGCAGGTGGCGGTAAGCTACATGAGTATCAGATGGAAGGATTGAACTGGTTACGCTTCTCTTGGGCCCAGGGTACCAACACCATCTTGGCTGATGAAATGGAGCTTGGAAAGACAATTCAAACCATTGCCTTCTTGTATTCACTATGGAAGGAGGTATGACAGTTATTTAGCTTTAAGGTCTATCATTTATTGATAATTATAGTGAATGATCGATTAGGTGTCACGGTGCATATTTGATTTTCCGTGTAAAAGGTGTGGCGCTTATTCGAGAGTTGCGCTTATTTCAATAGCGGGGAAAACACTGAGGGAAGTATATAGAGAACTCTAACTTGTGCAACAAACCTTACAAATATGTACATCTCGAACTGGTATGTAAACCCGGTTTCAAGAGTTGCCCTACCTTAAAACTAGAGAAGCTCACGAGTTGGTTGTGGTCTTATTTGTCAAGCAACTTGGTTTTCATATCTCTTTATATCAAGCGCCAAAACAAAGGTTGGGCATTTATTTGTAAATACCCAAATTAGCACTGCAGCACTTATTAAATTATTTTCGGTGTGGTGCTTATTCGAGAAGCAGAAAGAAAACAAGCGCTTAGGTCAATCCTCCATTTTTGGCAATTTTAATGCATAGACATAAAGATGGAAACAAATTGGGCTTAAAGTAGGGTCCCATGTAGTATCCTTTGATTGCATTTTATACGTGGCTTTTTAGAGTCTGTTTCTTAAAGGGAAGAAATCAAGGTGTTTTTCTGACTCTCATCTACCTCTCTACCTCTTGGTTTTTTTGTGCTCTTGTTTGAGCCAGGAGATTTTATGACCTCTTTAACGTGTGTATGTTTTCGGATTATTTATGATGAGTACCAGTTTATTTACATGTAACTGGAAGTTGTTATTAGTTAGCTTCAAACATTGTTTACATATTCATACTGTTAACTGTTGTTTTTAGGGCCATTCACCAGGTCCATTTTTACTCAGTGCCCCACTGTCTACGATCATTAACTGGGACAGAGAATTTGAATTTTGGGCTCCTGACATGTACGTGGTTACTTATGCTGGTGATAAAGCTGCCAGGGCAACCATCAGGTAAAATAATTGGCACTGATGTATTTCCTTTATGCAGTCTACATGATTAGTTGATAGACAGTGCAAGACTGTGCTCAAGCAATGCCCAGTGGCCCCTGATGCCTATATAAGTTTTGCTGTTGGGTGACTATAGAACATCTTAGTTTTTCATACAAGTCATATACTGGGCACCTGGATTTTATAGGTTTAGAGCTCTGCGCTCCCTTATTTCTCTTAAAGCACAGTCTTGCAGTGCCATTGATCAATCGTTTGATCAATTAATTGATGGCTTGTTCAGAATATTATAAGCAACTAACAAAGGCTTCTACTATACTGTCCTTAACAAATAACTTTTTTCAAAAACCTTTTTCCTCAGGAATCATGACTTTACATTTGATGAAGATGCTGTAAAACAAGGACTGAAACCTCATAAATTAAAGGTTTGCTTTTAACATGACCAGGATTGTTTGTGATGTTTTAGATATGATGATGGCCAATCTGTTATTACCCACATGGTATTTATCATTGTGTAATGAATTTAGTATTAAAAAAGTATGCATTACATGTACATCGCAAGTCAACCACTTCATTACACAAGTGCTTTTGTTGTAAAAGCTGAGAGAAGTATGAGGAGGATTCAAATTGAGATTTTCCTCATGGCTTCACCATTAGCTATGCATGATGGTTCCTCTTCCAAAAAGCATTTAACCCACAAGATTTCCCTACTAGTTGGTTTGCAAATTGAATTAGCCTTTTTATGCAACTTAAGTTACATTCAAAAATACCTCAAACCATTGTATGATTTAAGACAACTCTCTCTTACACAATAGACTATTATTTTATTGTTGTGAATTACACCCCAACCTTAAGGTGAATATGAGGCTAGGGTTGGCTTTGTTTGATACAAACCTCCTTTATTAATTTTTCTAACGTAGATTTTGCTTTAAAAATAGTAGTTTAGTATAAGAACAAGACAATTTACATAAGAAAGTAGGAAGGGTTGTATCAAAACAAGGTCAACTCAAGCCTGGTTTCCACCTTTTAAATGTAAAGTTGGCTTTCGGACTAGTACTTCTCACACTTTTTCTTTTGCCTAGGAAGAGTAGATTGTTAATACTGAGTGTTCTGGTTTGCAGAAAGATCACCCTGTAAAGTTTCAAGCACTGTTGACGTCATATGAACTGGTGTCAATTGACATGACAACCCTGCAGTCTATTGACTGGGCTGTATTAGTGGTGGATGAGGCTCACAGGCTTAAGAATAAACAGTCCAAGGTTAGCCCAGAAATCTTAAACACAACTACTGTAAATACAATAAGTAGGCAGAACTCAAACAGCCAAGGATTTCTTTTGGTTTTACCTCTCTATTTTTTTAAAGTAGGCAGTAGTCACCTTCATAGGAGCCTGAGAATTCCATGGTCCTTGGCTTTTGCAGACAGCCCTGTGCACCCCTTCTTGGTTCCAGGGTATTTTTAGCAGGATTTAAGGCATGTTTTCTGTTCTTTTCTCTTCTCTATGAACAGTGTTCTCTATGTTACGTCCAAAGTTAGTTTCACTTATAGCCAAGTTAAGGACTGGTAGATATTTTGCAAAACAATAATCCCAAATGATGAAAATACAGACAATGTCACTTGTACAGGAATGCAAGAGGACTTCTTAACATACTTAAATAGAACAACCTTAAAGAGCATCATTAACCGCCCCACAGCCAATTACTTCTGCATACTTTTTTACAAATAGCAACACAGTAACATTTCTCCTACAGACCCAAGGTTAATATCTTTGTGAGACACTCCCCGTCATTTAATATTATTTTGATTGGTCTTTTTAGTTCTTCCAGATTCTCAGTGCCTATTCAATAGACTATACCCTGCTACTGACAGGAACACCTCTTCAAAACAACCTTGAAGAGCTGTGGAATCTGTTGAATTTCCTTGATCCTGCAGAGTTTAAGTATGCTATTGTTTTTAACTTTAGTGAAACCATAATTTATTCCACTTTGTTTTTTTTTTAAATGTTACCAACTAGTAAGAGGTCAAAGACACAAATATCGATCAACAACATGTATCCTGTAGGATGCACAGATCAATCACGTGGCCTGAAGATGTCTTTGAAGAATATCCTGTTTGTGAATTCACATCTGTTATCAAACTTGCCTGAATTCAAGTGAGCAATATCATCTGCAATGAAATGAGTCCAAAAGTAATGACTGAAAGAAAAACAAAGGCATTTTCATGCTTGAGCTCCAATAAAATCTTTTGTTTTTGAACTGAGACTCGTCATTTTTCTCACCTCTGCAATTTGTAACAAAATTACTGCAGGAATGAAAATCATCTTTCTCAGACAAGTGCCAAGCCCTGCAAGCTGATCTTTTGTTACAATGAAGCCCTTTTGGGGGGCAAAATTAATATATCGGATTATTCTTATTTTTTTCTAATTCAGGAGCCAGAACAGTTTCCTAACAGAGTTTGAGGATGTTGCTAAGGAAGACCAGATTAAGAAGCTTCATGATATCCTAGGTCCCCACATGCTGCGGCGTCTTAAGGCAGATGTCTTGAAAGGAATCCTCTCCAAGAGTGAGCTTATCGTCAGAGTTGAATTGAGTCCTCAACAGAAGTATGTTTGCAGATGTTTTGGAATCTCCTTCTCATAAAACAGCCATTTAATCCATTTTGTTTATACAACAGAAGATAGCAGTTCAAAAAAGTGTCACAAGGAACTTTTTGGCTTATCTTTTCAACATCTGGGTTTTGTTAAAAGGATAGTCCAGAAATCTTAAAGATCACAATACTTGGCCAGAGCTAGTCGTGACTTTTTTTCAGAGACGTCCTAACAAAAAGTGGTGGTGACCAACATTTTACTGTCTGCCTATGTTAGTAGCGTTGACACTTGTATTAATGACAACAGGGCCTTCTACAGTATGCTCCAAGTGTCCTATATAATTATCAAGAGACATGTTTCCAATTAACTGCGAAACCAAGTGACTATTCAGACAAGTAAACAAAATCACTGTGAAAGGACAAGATGTGTGAAATATCTTGCCAGGTTCGTAGGCTCCATTAATACCACGCACCTTTTTCGGGGCCACATTGTCCGAGTGATGCTTTAGTATATTTCAGTGAAATTTAATGACAGGGAAAGCTTGAGTAAAGACAATACAGGAATAAGGCAAGTGAATGTCAGGGCAGCACTCAAAGGTGTGGATTTAAAAATTGAATGTTTTTTTGTGGTTTGTTTTACAGGAAATACTACAAATACATTTTAACAAGAAATTTTGAGGCTCTGAACACCAAAGGATCTCATCAAGTGTCTTTGTTAAATGTGATGATGGAACTGAAGAAATGTTGCAACCATCCATACTTGTTCTCTTCTGCAGCCCTGGTAAATATGTCAGTTTGATATTTCTGACTTATGTAACATTATTATTTGAAACTTGATGCATGGGGCGAAAAAAATAGATTTGTTTACTCATTTTGAAAGTTCAAAGGTTAGAAATTTTTTTCTAATGATTTTTCATGACTACACTTTTATTAATTTGCCGTCTGTAAAATGAACTCAAAATTCTCCATTTTGCACTTGACTCCTGATTGAACTACGCCTCCACAGCTAACCAGTGCATTTCCTTTTGGGAAATCACTCACAACAGCCTGAACTATTAACAGATCTTATCCTTAAATACCATTTAGTGATAGGCTGCCCAGGATGGTATCCTGTCAAAGTAATAGAGAGCTTTTGAAAAACTGTGTAGAAAGCAGCACGCCTGTTTTTTTACTATCAATGGGCATCTGACCAAGTTTTCCCTTCGCTTGTCTTTTATTATTTATTATATATAGCTAAATGAAAAAATTAGGCGTTTTATGCCAGGTTTACCTGAAGGAATTATTTTAAGTTATTTTACACATCTTCTATCTTTTTGTTTCCTAATTTGAGAAATGAACGGCTAGAATTAGACTTTTTCCGTTCGCCAAAGATATAATAAATTATTCTAAATCTCTCCATTATGTCATTTGCATGGACCTTAGGAGGCTCCTAGAAGTGCTAATGGTAACTATGACACAGCAGCTCTTACTCGTGCTTCTGGAAAGCTAGTCCTTTTGGAGAAAATGTTGAAAAAATTACGAGAGGAAGGACACAGAGTTCTCATTTTTTCACAGGTAACGTGAACTACACTTTATAGATCCAACTGCTTATAGTTGCAGGGGTTTCATTTCAGCTGGATGCCGGACTTAACGTCCGGTAGTTCAAAACGAAATAATTTTTTTTTTTTCAAGTGTGAAAATCGTTGTTTTGCATTTATTAACCAAAGAAAGACTTGACCCTTATTTTACTCACTTAGTTATGTAATGCATACAATCGAAAAAAAGAGATGATTCCTGTGATAATTCCGGTTACCTAATTCCGGTCCAGAGAACGCAGGAAATTGCATTTTAGAGAAGATTTTACAGATTTCCTGGGGGGTATGCCTAGGGACCCCCTAGGAGTTCGCGTCTCCGGCACTCAACGTTCGCGGCAGCGGCGCGAACAGTGCACGTCCGCCAGCTGAACCACTGCATCCGGTACTTCCAAGTGCCACCGAAAACCCTGTTGTTGACATGTATATATGCTCCAAACATTACTAACAATTATTTTATTAAAAGTCAAGAAAATTCCCAAACAGTTTGCATGGTTGTGAAACTAAGTCATTGGTAAATGTACAGCTGAATATTCTTTTAATGTGTTGTTCTGCCCTTCTCTTGGCATCACCCTGTTGGCCTTTGCAAAAACCTTAAATACCTTTAGTGAGTGAAAAACATTACAGTGCAATTCAAAGTCCTTGTCCACTCACCCCCTCCAAGCAATGTCTTAAATGATTTCATGCCTTCTCCACACTTCACGCTATTACTCTTTTTTAAACTGAACTATAGTAATAAGTATTATAAAAAACTGAATTATTGGATAATGCAATTTCCGCAATTCTAGAGTTCTGATTAGCGTAGCCATCGTGGTATATGAGCTATTATACCATGCTCTCAGCTGAAAATTGGTTCTTTTTACAAATAAAGTTGGGAAGAATTCTCGATATTTTCGATATTATTCTACGAGTGCATGTTGGATATGAGATAATTATAGCCTACGCGCACTCGTAGAATAATTGTCAATTATAAATATTGCACATACTAATGCCCCTCCTGGTTTGCTGTTGGCCAAACTAGATGACAAGAATGCTGGATATCTTAGAAGACTTCCTTGAGGGGCACGGTTACAAATATGAAAGAATTGATGGAACTGTCAATGGAGCAGCTAGGCAGGAATGTATTGATAGGTTTAATGGTAAGTACATGTGATGCAGGAGGAAACAGCATTTCAGTAATTTTAATTGGGAAGTAGCTAGGGTGATCTTCAAAACTTGTTAATCTTAATCTTCAGCTATAGTTCATTCTGCTACTGTTAAAACTGTATTTTCACGAAAGAAATATTTACTGTTGAAAATGTGCTTTTCTGCTGACTGTCCTCTGACCAAAATGCCAGAACTATGGTATAAGATGATGCGAATCAATGACAGGCTTTTACTTTAGATTGTGTGAGTGTATTGTATTTAGTGCTCCTGTTTTTCTAAAACTAAGCTTCTAGTGGCGGGCAAATTTGTACCCTTTCGTGGTGGTTATCTGATAAATAATATAAAAAATTGAAATTATCCTCATTTCATTAAAATCCTGACCATGTATAAATCCTGACCTTATATGAACCCTGTAAAAGGAACATGAATCCCCAGATGCTTTATATAGGTTAGCAAAATGAAAACAAAACCAATAGAACCCCTTAGCTGTTCAATTACTACCTACTACTACTAATTGAATACTCCTTGAAATTTGAAATCTTACTGACAGCCCTGCATTACAGTTATTGAAATGTTTTATAAATATTGTTTTTGATGCTAATCAGAGCTCTGTTTTTCTTGCCTTTTCTTTTTCTGTTTGTTTGTTTGAAGCTGCTGGTGCACAGACGTTTTGCTTCTTGCTTTCTACTCGTGCTGGAGGTCTGGGCATCAATTTAGCCACAGCTGACACTGTGTTTATATATGACTCAGACTGGAATCCTCACAATGACATCCAGGTATATAATGTACATAAATAGTGACATTAACATGAAAAATTGTATTCTGGCCAATCCAATAGTTTAGAAAATTTGGTATGTTAGTATACCTCCTTATACTTAGGTTTTATGTTAACAGTTACAAAGCTGTGACCTGCTTCACCCTGGAGTAGAAAAAGAAATTACAAGATTTTTTATCCACTAGAGCGTACGTAGCAACTTAAAAATAAGCCAACCTAATAAGATGTTGTACATGTGTGTTGCTTCTCTTCCCTTCTTGTCTTTCCTCACAGGCGTTCAGCAGAGCTCATAGAATTGGTCAAAACAATAAGGTATTTAATTAACAAAGTGGTACTCTTCAGTGCCTTGTGTATTATTTTATTGTATAAAGTCTTCATTTATGCTAGTTAGTTCAGCTGGATAAGGACCTGGGGCCTGTTTCTCTAAAGTCCCGATTGTTACGGGGCCACCCAGAACGCTGTTGTTGTTTACATTCAAGATAGAGGTTTCAGTACTTTTGTAGGCAACGTAATAAAATTATCAGTTAAGAAAACAAAATGGACGGGTTTGTTGGCTAGGACTTGCGCGATTTTATTCTTTACATTTTTATTTGAATATTTGATTTCGAGCCTGGAAAGTTACTGGGACTTTCGAGAAATGGGCTCCAGTCCTCCAAGCAGGAGGTCATGGGTTCAAACCCAGGCCAGACCATCAAACAATCTTTGATTTTAGACCTTGGCGTGTCTGTTAATATATAATGTACTGTAAAAAAACACGTCTGATGTTCTTTCTTCCGTAACTCTTCATTCATTTCATGCATTCATTCTTTCTTTCATCCCTTCATTTCATTTCGTTCAATTCATTCGTATTGTTCTGTGCAGTTTAGCCCTGTATTCAGAGACTTTTCTTAATTCACCCTCCAGTGCACTTGAGAGAGGCGTCATTGTCTTCAGACTTTTTATGTCCCCCTCATGGAGCGTCAGTTAAGACATTACTTTTCAATACATGTAGAATATCAAAATTACATTATGAGTCTCCGTTTTCTTGTTAGGTTATGATCTATCGCTTTGTTATAAGGGCCAGTGTGGAAGAACGGATCACACAGGTACGTAGTGCTGTACATTATAACGAATGTAAGGGAAAATATATATTTTAAGCGATGGAACAAAGTATAGTCAGTTTCTGCTATTGCAAACACAGTCTAAACAATAATTGTTTGGATTCTTACCACACGTTAATGGGACAAGTTTGTGGCTCCTTCCTTGGTGGTTTTAATTTGGAGGTGTGCTGGTGTGGTCTCTCCCTGCTAGCAGAGGTATCATGAGAGACCTCTGCTAGCAGGGAAGTGCAGTCTGTGATGATGCTGATAATTGTGTCACAGGTTCTTATTAACTATATAAAAAATATCCGGCAAAATGAATGTTAATAAGCATAATTGGCATGTTTTAGGTTTTTAAAGGAAATGTTGTGGTTGGAATAACCCAAATTGGAAATACACGAGAAATTCCTTCCAAATCAAGGAAAGGGTTGCAGTGAATGAACATTCAATCCAATATTGCTTTGTTCACCCGAGTCCAATTGCCTATATCAGAACCTTATATGTATATGTATATAAGTATATGTTTTTTGTTTATTGAGAGACCTCAATCTCGACTAATTTACTTCAACAATCAGTGTGAAACAAACAAATCCTTTAAAAGCGCTATTTTTGTTGTAGATGTATAATATGACCCCTTAAGCTTTGATGACTTTGATCTTTGCGCTAAAGGTTGCCAAGAAGAAGATGATGTTGACTCATCTTGTGGTTAGACCCGGCTTGGGATCCAGCAAAACTGCTGTCATGTCTAAGAGTGAGCTCAATGATATTCTCAAATTTGGAACACAAGAACTCTTCAAGGATGACAATGCTAAAGATGGAGGTTAGTCTTCTACTGACATACCTTTCTTTAGAGAATCAAAACATTCCTGACGCTACCTTAAGCCAGGGGCACCCAGTGACTGTTTTCTGTGAAATGTCTGTTCGGAGAAGCAACAATTGCCTAGAATTTTCTATAGCTTGAGGAAGGCTAGAACGTTCGAGATGACCATTCATGTACAATTTTCGAAGCTTATCTATTAAATTCCTTACGATTTTCTGAAGTTTAATTTTTCCCATTTTACTCCCCAGGTTAAGCTATTTTTTCATAGAGAAAGGAAACCTAAATTTTCGCAACCGGAATGCGATGCAGAGAGGAATCAGAAAAATTCCCACTTTCGTATAACTTTAAATTACAGCTTACGTTTTCAGGAAAATAATTTTGAAGCCCTTGTTATTTTAAAAAAAGACTCATTAGCGCCACTTAGAATACATTTCTAGAGATCTAAAAGTACTCTGAGTAGCCTTAGAAGTGTGTTCCATGCATGTACGAGGAAACCGTCGTTTAGTGCCCCTGTTAAGCTACGTTACACTTTAATGAAGACAAACAAAGAGAACTTCTAGAAAAATGATCATTTAAACAAGACCGAGGATACGCTGTACATTATCAGTGGCATTTGCGTTTTTCTAATTCAAAATATATGTTGTAATTATGTTTCTCTTTTTTAACTTACTAAAAAACAAGTGCTGGTACGTGGAAGACATATGACTTTGCAGACGCTATTGATAACTCCTAAATGGTTTATAACTGGTGACAAGATATGTATCAGTTGGTGAAAGGAGCTGAAGTCTAGAATATGAGTTTTTTTTTTTCCCTGGGGTGTCAAAAGGAGTAAAACATGAGTGAGCCATCTTCCACGCCCTGCCACGTTTTTCTGCTGCTAAGAAAAATAAAGAATTGGAAAAAACAGGAGATAGCGAGACCTTATTTCTTAAGGATGCTGTAATATGCTTTCTAAATTGATTTTCTTTTATTGTCAGACTCGGGTGACTCAGGCCGCATAGATTATGATGAAAAAGCCATCATGTCACTGTTTGACCGTACCAGTAGCCACGATGATGCTCCTGATGAAGAGAAAGACATGTTGGCTAATGAATACCTCGCTTCTTTCAAGGTAAGACTCAGGCCCTGTTTATATGGAGAAAAGTCGTACCGGGTGTAGAAGGGTCACTTGCCTACCCTAGCTACCCTAGGCCAGCCTGGCTCTCATATGCCGCTGATGTATGTACAACGCTGCTGGTAACACCTGGGCTACTTCTTGGACAAATGAGAACATGCGCCGCCGGCAACTAGAGCCATCACAAAGCTTTACCGCCGTCATGCCTGCGAAGATGAACTCGAGTCAGCTTCGCAGGCATGCCTGGGGTAAAGACTGGGATGACCAATGTTGCTGGCTACTTCTGTTCTCATATTGGAACAGTATCCCAGGCAGTACCGGTGGCCATGTCGCAGGTGCATCAGCGGCATATAAGAACCGGGCTTAAATACAAAAAGTGGGCGGGGAATCAAACGGCTGGGATTTCTTTTAGTTTTATGTGTCGTCCTTTTTCCAATGGTATATAGTTGAATAGCATAGCCAGCTTTTTGGCTAAAGCATGTCAAAAGAGAAGGAACAGGATGACAGCATTTTCTTGCTGTGTCTTGTTGATGACTTCTCTCACTTTAGGTGATTGTAATCTACATGTATACACACCACTTCTATGACATGCGATATTAAACATGAGTGAGCAGGGCCTGGAGCCTTAGCATTAGGCTACTGGAGTAGTATATCGCTCAGACATGATAATGTCTCCCTCCATGATAGTAGTGAATTATTCCCTGCACTGTAGTCAAGTGTAACTGATGTTGCATTTAGACATGCATACAGAACACCATAGGATTTCATTACAGATTTAAAAGATAAAGTGACTTATAACCTAGCCACACCAAAGTTTGGAAACATTCAATTAATGAAAGATACCAACTTGAATAGTGATATCGTATCATTCAGTTTGCGCTTATCAGTTTGTGGTTTGTGTGTGAACCTTTCTCAAAGCCATTGAGTTACAAGTGTTTTTTATTACCAAATGTACGACCTTGTGCCATCCAAGTTTTTTTAGTTATTATTTTCAGTATATGCTGTTAACACTTTGGTGTTTGTGGCTTTCTTTGCAGGTCGCAAGCTATGTAGTGAAGCAGAAAGATGATGATGTAGAAGTCCTCAAGGTAGCAAAAAAATCGCCATCTTTTTTACGGCTTAAATAGTTGATTAACGTCTTTCGCGATGATGTACATTCCGCAAAAAACAGTTCTCAACTTTTCACTTCTTCTGTGGTATTTTCCTGAACAAATCCGAGCATGTTCCCACAAGCTGGACCTTTTCCATGTTATTATTTTTCCTTTATTTTCATCTTAATTTACCTCTTAGTATCGATTTGGATAGAAAATTCTTTTGTTGTTTGAACTTGCTAGCGAGGCTTGGAGTCAATTATCATGAGCATTAATAACAAGAAACCTGAAAAAGTTCTATTCTACTGCTATTCTTTATCAACAGCAAGATGCAGAGAAAGCAGACCCTGACTACTGGGAGAAACTTTTACGCCATCATTACGAACAGTTCCAAGAAGACGAGGCGCGACATCTTGGAAAGGGAAAAAGAATCAGAAAACAGGTAACTGTAACTTTACTTATTTCTTTGAATATAAATGTACGTGAAAACCTTTATAAAAAAGATTTTATAAAGGTGCATCGATAGCTGCCGATAATGTTTGTAATAATTATTTTTTTGTTTTCTTTTAATGGCAGGTCGTCAGCGGAGAGGTACTCGATCTGCTACTGACAGGGAAATCACTCCTCCTATGCTGGCTAAAGTGCATGGCAACTTGGAGGTATGTTACTTAATTTAACATATTCAAAAATGTTACTCGACAAGATCTGTGGACCCTTAGAACAGAGTTGAGGTCATTCGGCACTATTTGTGAAAGGAACTTATGTGTGTACTGAACTTGTCAGTGGGATTTGAGTAACGATTTTGAAAGGTAAATCAATTTTACTCCAGATAACTTACTTTGACAAAGTTGTACATTTTCGGTCTTTTCCTCGTAGTTTAGGCAACTAATGGCCAAGCGTCAGTTACAGTCTATCGAGTTTGAGTGTTTCAGTTAATGAGGAAAAAAGTAAACTATTTATACGCCCCTTCAAGACTGTTTAGGTTCCGTTGAAGTGAACTGAAAGTTTAAAGTGTATTTTATTATGTTATCCAGGTTTTTGGTTTCAACTTGCGACAGCGTAAATCGTTCCTGAATGCGGTGATGAGGTATGGTCTGCCTTCTCCTGAAGGGTCTCGTCGATCACAATGGTAAGATTGATGCCTTGTTGTAAAGAACTTCTTCTGTAAAAGTAGACCTTTTTCAGGTCATTTGTTTCAGCATACGTAGTAATTATAACGAAAGGTTAGGAAGTGCGTGCGAGGTCAAAAGTCAAAGCATTCTTGCTCCAACGCTGTAAGCTTTGCGTTCTATGCATTCAAATGGGCCATTTATTCTCAGTGGAAGTCCAAACGATTGCTGGCTACATATGTGTTGGGCATACGTAATAGCAACCTGGTGATAAGGACTGCGAGCTCCCCTAGTAGTCCGCAATGGTATTAACATTGAAATTTGTTTAATAGATTTGAGCTTGAAAACTTTGAGAGAATTCATTTCCCTCTGACTTCCCGGTTACACTATTCCGTTCTAGGTTCGCAAGAGACCTCCGGGGGAAATCCGAGAAAGCCTTCCAGTAAGTAATTGATATATGGTAACTTTACGTGTAAAATATTTTCCTCATCATGAATACAGCTAAGTTTTAGTTTGAACGTAAAAATTGTTTTTGGAAATTTCCACATAATTCAACAAACTTATCATTTGAGCGAGGTTTCGGTCCATAACCTGTTGGTTTTCTAAGAAGCACTTTGCTGTATTGGAATTGATTAGCTGAAGTTGCGTTTAGGAAGCACAGCACGAAAAGGCAAATTTAAGTTAGCGTAATGGTGGCGTAAAGCTAGCGTAAAGCTCTCATTTACGTAACTTTACGACACATTTCAGCCACGTAAAGCCGAACTTTACCTTACCTTTACGCGTATGCGTTAAGGTATCGTAAAGAGACTGTTTAAGCTCTGCGTAAAGTTTGTGTAAATACGCCGTAAAGAAGAGATTTAAGCGAACGTAAAGTTGGTGTAAATACGCTTTAAAGTAGAGACTTAAACCAGCGTAATTGAAGCGTAAAGTTGGTGTAAAGATCTTATTTAGACAATCCTTTTACGCGTTAAGCGGACATGCAAAGGAGTAGCAGTTTAAAAAATAGGGCCCCGTTCCGTTTCCAATTTTGCATTACCATAACCAATTTTCAAATTGCCTATCTTTATTTTTACATTTCAAATCCCATGAAAATCGCCAGGTATGCTACATTGTTGTAACTGCAAAAGCTGCAAATACGAATCGCATTCTTTAAGTTTAGTCCCGTAAAGAGTGATCTTACAAGGTTTTAAAAAACAAAACACACTGATACTCTAAAACTGAATTTTCTAAATATAACATGATTTATTTCTGTGTTAGCATCTTTGTCATTACATTAAAAATTAAAAAAACGAAAATTTTTCCAACACCTAAGGTTTAAATAAGAAGATACAGTGTACATAAACTTTTCAAATGGGTCAAAACAGTCTTCTCAAAATATCCAAAAAAAATCATCTTAACTTAGTATTATACCAGATTAAGATGATTTATAGTTTAAAATAATTATTTAGCATTTACATGTAAGGTACAGGGTGAAAAAGAAAACTGATGAAGTTAAATTTTGATAAAAAACAGCAACTCTAACACACAAATTAATGTAAATGTGGGTCAAAATGGTCTCTTCCAAAATGAAAATATGTAGTATAATTTAGCATAATTCAAATCAAAAGCTTAAACAATTTTAGATAAGAAATAAAAAGACTGAAAGCCTAATACATGTATAACATTGATTGTTTCTTGATTCAGCCCTTTCACTCTCAGAAGTGTTTACAGTCAAATTTAACAACAAAATCCAAATAAAAAATCATTTTCATAAACTGATGATGTAAAAGTTAGATGCACAAGGCTGTCACTAAGATTGCAAGTTGCAGGGTTTAAGTGAAATTAGTGAGCAGGACATTGAAAATGTGGAAAGTTTCGTTTCCTCTCAAAACAGCCAAGTATTGGGCTCAAAGTAGCCGATTTAAAGTCTGGTTTATGGCCCTTAGTGACAGCCCTGGAACCACTTTACAAGACTAAGGCTTGTAATTAACATGTATTAATCCTGTTTGCTTTGAGAGGACTTTCTGTCACCAACATCCCATACCAGGCTGATCTGCTGAATAAATAGAAAGCAAGTATTATTTGAGTAAACTACACAGATTATTTGTAGGCTAGTGATAATACACTTAATCGCGCACTAAAGGCACAAGTACATGTACAGTAAGGGGGTGTTTACATGAGAAAACTCACACCGGCACGAGTCTCATACCGGGATGACTTTTTGATTTTGTATCTGGTTTACATTATGAATGAGTCATTTCATATCTCGTTATTTGAAGGTACACTTCATGTTGATAAAATACAAGTGTGATTCAAAATCGCAAACATTACGCGTGTGCTACCCATTTCAGTCTACCGGCAGACCGATTTCATGCCGAAACGGGTGGTCGTTTCGCATTTACATGATACTGCCATGAGATTTTGTACCAGAGTGAAATTCTCGCCCCGGTACAAGAACCGGGGTGAACTCACACTGGGGTGACTCGCGCCTGCATGACATTTTGTGGTGGTATCATGTAAACAAATATAGAGCTATGAGAGGGAACCGGAGTGAACTCGCTCCGGGGGAAAAGTTGCCCCGGTGTCATGTAAACACCCCTCAAGTTGCCAGAGGACACCCCCTGCTATTACTAATTAATAATATTTTTTCCTACACTCATGGCCAAATTACTACAATCAGCACAATTTTACTTGACACAGGGTTCCCCACATGCCTCTTTTCACAAACCAAGACTAAAAATTTGAAAAAAATGATAAGGCATTTTCCACAAGTGGTCTAATAACAGTGCAAAACCTGAGTAGCAAATGATTTCAATGTCCACAAATTCACACAACTGAATAAGATTCATCTGACTGTTAAAGATTCAAAATGTTTGACTAGTAGGAGTTAAAGGCTTTCCTTAAAGGCAATAATATTTACATTTAGAACCCTACTTGTAGTTGAGTGAAAATCAGGGTAAAATGCTACATGGAAACCCTATAATAATAATAATAATAATAATAATAATAATAATAATAATAATAATAATAATGATAATAATAATAATAATAATAATAATAATAGTAATGAACTTTATTAAAGTCTCATGTCTTATAACTCAGGCACAGTGCCTTACTAGTCGGGGAGACTGAAGCATATGTATATGTTAAATTTATTAACAATGGTTTATTATATTATTAGAGTTCAATGTTTTACAATGTATATCTTTTTTTATTTTAATGTATGCATTTTTATAAAAGTATCATCCATTAATATCGTTTTAAAGTGCTATGAAAAACCACTGGATGTACATTATTATTATTATTAGAGAGTAAGCAGTGCGCAAAGAAAGTAGTGTCCGATAGCCCGGGGCTAGTGGATTTTGCTATCGAGCCAGTGAATTTTGAACTTAACTTGCCCGATGGGCAAGTGAAGTTTTTTTGAGGAATTCAAATTAAAGAAGAACTGTGAAATCAATGCTGCTCATCAAAACGGTTTGGGGGCTAGTTGAAATGACATTTGGGCTAGTATATGCTAGCTTCAGCTTGCCCGAATGGCAAGCTTTAAAAATCACCTTCTTTGCACCCTGGTAAGAGAGAAATTTTCCTATCCACTTGTCCTTCACACAAGCAATACATTAAATTTGGTTGTCCGAAACCTAGAGTTCTTGTCCAAAAAGTTTAGCTTGCAACGGGCATTTAATGTTTTTAATCACATTATTTAATCACATTATTACCCTTGTATATTATTTTTGAATTAAACCTACAACAGAGCTTGTAAAAAAGCAAATGAATGAAACGACTGGCAGTGGAATGGCAAAGTTAAATGGAATATTTAAGGCAACTGTTTCTTATCTTTATTTTTCTAATTAAAAATGTGCTTGTGCCACGGACAAGTCATATCAAAGGTTTACATGTTCGAACTAAATTTCTGCCTGTCCCGGACTAAAGTTCCAAATCAATAAACATTCCTAGCCTTCTCATGAGCTCCACCAAAGACTTTCAGGGAAAATATAGAAACATATAAGCACCTTATTCCCAAAAGTTTCAAATTTTCCTGAAACTTTACCTAATATATTTTTTTTCCTTTTTAATACGAAACGTTCAAGGTTCCTAGTTAATGTAACAGGAGTGAAGCCACTTTGCTATTTAAAGCCCTTATCCTCAATCTTGAAAACAATGCCTCCTAATAATAATGTACAGTGTACCCTGTAAATAAAGCAGCCTATTTTCTTTCCTTGCCACCAGGGACATTTCACAAGAGAGACAGTTGTATTTGCAGATTAATAATGGTGTATGTAGACAAGAGAATCCAAAACAGCTATGACTGCTATGACTCTCTTAAGAGTCTTATCTTTCACAACTTGTTTCTTTAAATTTTGTTTTCCTTTAAACCTAGATATACTGACGATACAACTATGGTGCAAATAGAACAATTTCTGGTTTCTAACATGACTGTGTGCTTTGCTTCCCAAAAAGTAAGGCATTCAATTTCCTGACAGTATGTGCTGCACTGTATCCTCTCAAGAACCACAATATAATTTCATAGGAGCAGTGCACAATGAAGATTAAAATTAATGGTAATATATGAAATGAATCATACTTTGAACTGCAGATGAAGGTATGAAACTGTGAAGATTTTAACAACTATGTTGGCACTTACATGAAAATACATTCTAATTCAATCATGGTCTGCATTAGCTAGGCATTGAAAGACTCATGAAAATGTCTATTTATTCTCTGTTCATTTAAGTTAAAACCCACATAATTTAAAATCAAAAATAAACTTTTGTACCTGCTTCAAAAAATACATGCATGCTGTTAAATTATTCACCACTTATGATGCTATGACTGCCTGGCCAGGGGAATTGGGAAGCTTGGGTTTGTTATTGACTGACGCATGAAAATATAGAACCAGACTACGTAGATTATCTTTGCCTACTTGCAAATTCAACACTTGTTAACACTTTTCTATTCTGTTTATTAGTTCTTCTATAGTCTGTGAAAATTTTCATAAGAATGTTTGTATCACATTACATGTAAGCTTACTTTATACAGATGTCCTTTCTTAATTCCATTATTTTCTTTTAGTAATTCCCAGTACCAGTGACCAAACTCCTATTTTCCAGTACAAAACAAGGAAATTCTACTCCTTCAGACCCCCAAAGTCCTTACATGATTTTACATTATCATCTTCAACGTCATGGTCTCGTTGCTTGCTTAGTATTGAAAGGTTATGCCAAATAAATACACATGTATAGTTATAATTTACTTTAAACGGTTAATGCTGGTTTCATTGCTCACTGAAATGTTAGTTACTGAGTACTTGAGACAGTCATTCGAACTCGTCATAAACAAGTTGGAATTAAGCTTAAAAAGTTAGAGAAAAGGCGAGCCAGGACAACTTACCTTGCCTTACTATCTGCTCTTTTCAGCGAGATCTTGAGTATCGAAGAGCCTTAGTAATACGTGTAATACAGTCGTGGTCTGTGTTGTGAACATTCCAGTGTTAATGCTTGCGCTTCACACGATGTTTCTGTCTCCATTTCTGACTGAGTATCTCGTCCCGAAAGGGTTGCTGCACACTTGAGAAGTGATCGATTACTAAAGGCTGATAGTGCCATTATAAATTGTAACAACCTTAAGATGTCCTGTGATGCTATCAAGAAGCATAATATATGAACGATCTGCAACCTTTCAAAGAAGCAAGTTTGAAACCGTTGGACACTTTCAAAATGGTCGCCAAATCAACGAACCTGATTGAGCATGTGCAAAGGAACAAGCCCGCTGACCAGGTGTCCCTTCATTCTATTGTTTCCAGGCCCCTTTCTTTTAACAAATTGTCCGTTCCCAAACCTGAAGTCCGCGGACTTAGAATAAGGAAACGATAAAGGAGGTTGAACAATGAAGCCAGTACTCCGTTGAATGTAAAATGGTCACAGTAATTTGTGAATGCGTTCTTTCTCTTTAAGTAATGCGTTCTTTCTTTAAGTAAAACTCGCCGTTTTTGAGAGGCGATATTTTTTCTTTATTTTCCAATTATTTCAATTTGATCAAATTACGTACAGTTGAAACTCTCTACAACGGCCACCTTAGGGACATTGAAGAAAGTGGCCATAGTAGAGAGGTTGAAAGAAGAGTAAATGTATGTCATGTATGGACCGTCCGCCGAAAAAAAAAACAAAACAAAAATGGCCCGTGTAGAGAGGTGACCGTTAAGGAAGAAACACCTTATACTGACTGAAATCAATGAGGGAATACTTCTGAGTATTGAAGGCTATTGTGTTTGCCGCGACAGATATGCCGTTTTTCGAAAATTGCCGCACAGTCGCAAGCTATATCTTTGCATGAACTCTGCCAGCAGAATTTTCTTTTCAGCGTCATTTTTAAGCGTGTACGAAGTCGTTCGCACCGCCAAAAAAATTTGCGTGGTTGGCTTGTTTACATCGCACACCAACATCGAACACTAAATGAGTGATCAAAAAAACTATGCGAACTAGTATCAGGGCACAAACGACTTACTAAAAACAGTGCCGGGAATAAATTGCTGTTAGGAAGCTAGCATTATATGACAACCTTACTAAACCTTTACTTGTAGCGTAAATGAGCGTAAAGCTGTTACAACAACTTTATGCTAGCTTTAGGAAACCTTTAAGAGCCGAGCGCGTAAATTTACCTTTACAAACCTTTACGCGCCGTGGAAAGTTTGCGTAAAGTTGGATGACCAACTTTACGGAGGTTTACGCAAACTTTAATTTTGCGTAAATCTCCATTTTCATGCTGTGAAGGCTCTCGGAATTCCTTGAGAGGAAACCATGGTGATATCTGTCACCCACCTGCATCACTCTGTGCTTTTCCGCATTTCCTTTGTTTCCTCCGTGATGTTAAAACACATTATATGACTACTTGTTGCTAGAACATCTGCCTCCATGCTGGTTATGTTTCATCACATATCAAATACATTACGGTCAACAGAGTTGAAAATAGCGACACCTTGTGGAGTATTTTTGATGAGGTTGGAAAAGTTTGATGTTGTGAAAAAAACATTTCAAGGTAACGAGATGTAAATTACTTTTGACCTTCAGAGCATATGTAGCTATGTTTCTGCGCCACTTGTGTGAGCCTGGAACAGACAACAAGGAAATGTTTAATGATGGAGTACCTCGTGAAGGACTTCAAAGAACTCAAGTGCTGACCCGGATTGGTATCATGAGCCTCATAAGAAAGAAGGTGGGTGGGTTTACTATAAGAAATCTTGTAAACCAAGACTAAATGTGGTAGTATTAACGCTTTGAACCCTAAGATCAAAATTTGAATTCTCATTTGTTGCCCCTATTCATTTCCTACAGAAGCAGTGGGGAGAAGTTGATAAAATATCAAGCAAATTCATCTTGTGTGATCATGTTCGTAATTCTCATGACCACTCTGATCATGTGTGATCATGTCCGTAATTCTCATGACCACTCTCTTTAAAAAAGCATTGATATTACAAGGAGAAATTTGATGCTAATTACTCTTAAAGCTTAAAGGGTTAAGCTTCTGGAGTTAATTCTAAAGGTGGTGTGAAAGCCGGCAAGAAGTATTTTCTTTTGGCACTGTTCATTTTACTAAACAGGGTTCTTTCAAACGTTATGACGCGGCGAAACCAAAGACTAAACTCCGAGGTGGGTGGTGGGAGGGAGAGGGGGGGCGCGGGCACTTTCTAGGAATAGGCTAATGGGTATGTGTGAGGGGCCTAAAAGGACTAGCTAGTAACGATGATTGTTGTGGTTATTGGCCTTTTGTTCAGGTTGAAGAGTTTGCTCATATAAATGGATGGGAAGCTTGTCCTGATGAAGAACCTTCAACAGAAAAACCTTCAAGTGAAACCTCCTCACGTGTCTCCACACCAGTAACAGAGATTGTTGACAGCAAAAAGGTTGAACAGGAGCCAGTTAAAAAGGAAGAAAAGGAGGCAACACCTGAGAAGAAGGAAGAGGAGCAACAGAAATCTGAACCAATGGAAACTGACAAAGACGAAGGAGGTACGGCTCAGTTGACTGACAGACTATTTTCCCGCAGGGGGGCCAGGGTCCGAAATTAACTTGTTAATACGGGCGCCAACTGGCGATCAAGTATAAATTTTTGGTCGCCAGAGGGCAAATTGTGGTCGCCAAAAAATTCCCCCTCCCTTTTTTTCGAATAATTGTTTAAACGCGAATAAAAAATGCATGGTATGGACGTTTTTATGCTCGAAAATTGCACTTCTTCCGCTCCCGATATCAGAAAGCAACCGTACGTGTACGAGAGAAGTCTTTTTTTCCCGCAAATTACTTTTTGGAGATATAAAGCTGTCTGACTTAGAAAGTAGGAACAGAAAGCTGTCTGCCCATGACTGCACTGATCACTCGTACCAGTACACAAAGTACATAACGTACTTACCGAACAACATGGCGGCTTGGAAACGTTCAACTCGTATTGATCGTAGCTGTTGTGGAGGTATTATTACAGGAAGATTCGTTTCACTTGTAATTAAAAAATATCAGCAGGACAAAAAGTAAGACACCTGTTGGCAAATAGCTGCGAGGTTTCAATTCTTGATCAATTTCTCCGAACGTTAAAGTCCACAATAACAACCAGCTTTACAAGTCGCTAGCTGGCGACCAGCTATGAAATTCTGGTCGCCAGGACTAAATTTTTAGTCGCATTTGCGACCAGGAAGGCGCAATTTCGGACCCTGGGGGGTACTCACTATTATGGCCCATATGGGAAGACTCCACCCGAAAGGGGTTTCTTTTTCTGGTTTCAGGTATAGCAGAACCCCTATAACTCGACCTCGGATAACCTGAACTCCCCGCCAACTCGAACTAAGTCCAATTTCCCTTGGATTTCACCCCACTTTCAGTCATTTTTATTCTGTTAACTCAAATCCCCCGCTAACTCGAACTAAATTTCATTTCCCTTGATCAAAAATTAACTGAAATTTACCTCGAGAACTCGAATTCTGGTTGTTGTAACGCCACTCGGATGCCATCCCATCAGCTTTTCCTTTTTTATAATCGGTAAAAACACTAAAACTAACACTGATCAACAAAATATCAATTTATTAATTAGTGCAACAAGATCACATTTTATCATAAAAAATGGCTAATTATGTTACCGTTTCGATGAAATAAGTTAAATTTGCACTGCACTAGACACTAAAGTGCTGAAAAATCAGTAAATAACAATTTTTCATATGGCAAATTGAATTTTGCAATCGACCCCGTGATCTCGAACTGTTTTTCGTTTCCCTTTCGAGTTCGAGTTGCTGGGGTTCTACTGTAAATGAAAGGGTAGAGAAACTTGTCATGTCGGTCTGTCAAAGAAGTTGAAAGGGCTAACAGACGTATCTTGGGCTGTGAAAGGGACAAGAAAAATTCCTGGTTTCGTGATTTATTCGTATTAAAAAGACGGTGAATTTACAGTTGGTAAAAGCGATGCAGTGTTCTTACTAGCTCTTTGAAAGCGGTACCGTTTGTCAGTAGATCAGTAGAAGGTATAAGAAAGGGTTAGCTTTTCTCTCAAAACTGGTATATTAAAAAAGGTGAAGGGGTGGGACCACAGGGCGAAGTACCTCCCTGGACTATTTGATGCACTGTACCTGCATTCCAGTGAACAGTGGCACCAACGCGATGCTTGGGATAACAAAACTAAATGATTTGTCCATCCAAGTCTCAACGTCGTGTCATTGTGTGTGCTCACTAGCGCGTAATAGGAGAAAGGTTTAGAACTAATAACTCAGCGCCCCTTAACATGGAATAGCACCTCTGAGATGTACGCAGTTGTTATCTCGCTAGTGATACTTTTGTATTCCACAGAGTCAAGTTAAGCTCTGTGCATGCAAACTACCTTTAAAGTAAATAGCCGTTTAACTGAAGGAAATATACCAAACAAGGGGTTTGCCGGCGTCTAAAGCTAGCTTTCTTGTTTCAAACGGAAAGTAAATCTTTGTTCCCAGCCATCCAATTGTCATCTGCTCATGAATAGCAGTTGCTCTATAACACAATATATTGTGGTATTTACTGTAATGTGATCATGTTGTAAAACTTCTGACATGTTTTTAACTGAAAGGAAGTAATTGAGGTTCATTCGGTGTTTAGTGTGAATGTAACTGGTTCCTTTACAGCTGGCATCATTTGTGTCGAGTAACGTATCACGTCCATGTTTCTCAGTGATTTACCGTTAATTTTTAACTGAGAAAGACCTAAGATTATTAGACACTGTACTAACATTAAAAACGGATTTTTCTCTCTTCACTGAAGAAACGATTATCGTTCGCAAAATAGTATAGTGCAACAGCTGTTTTGTCGGAAATATCCTTTCCATGGGGTACCCAACCAAGTAGGAAAATTACGGAAGTTCCTGGGGTGGGGGTATGACAAGCACCCCCCTGGAATGAAAATTCCAGGGGGGTGGGGGTTCTAAAGTAAAAACTACGCTATCAACGCTAATACACTACATCCACTGGTTAATCGGTTATGCGAAATATTTTAATGAATGGGTTAATGGTATGAGAACGTGTAATGTTATAGAACCCCTCATGTCTCGTTTGCAGCTAAAGAGAAGGCTAATGAGGAAGATAATGATAGTGCTAAACAGGAAAAAGGTGAAGAAGCTAAACCTGCTGCAGACAGTGAAGAAAACAAGAAGGAAGTGACCGATGAACACAAAGAGGATGACAGCATCAAAGGCGAGTGAGGAGAAGTTATTAGGGAGTTCAGGCATGTTTTTGAGCGACGCACGTCAACCGGAAGTGGTCATTTTTTTTCAATTTTGGACAATGGTTTTGCCCAACTTTTTGGACAAATAGTCTCGGTGATAGTAAAGACACTTAGAAATACAAATTTCGCAGTGTCAAGCCGATTTAAAATGAAAAAGAACTCTCTTCCGGTTGACGTACATCGCTCAAAAACGCCTTTGTTGAAGCTCTCCATTGTCCCTTATAAGCACGTTAGAAGAATCTTCCTCACTGCTTCTCTACTATCAGGCCGGATTCGATTCTCGAAGCCATCAGTTAAGATATTTTCATAGCTATAAGCCCTTTGCAGCAGGTCATTCAAATGGTACAAAACCGCCATGCTGTAGATCAAGGCCAGATGCACTGGGATAAGACAAAAATTGACAATGGTCCCAGTGCGTCCGTTTTGTACCACGTGACTGACCAGCTACAAAGGACTTGTTGATCATTGTTCAGGAACTAGTGTTAATACAAATCTTAACTCATAAGGTCTTTTTAAATCCAGACCCAAGTGCTTAACTTTGCCCTCCAGATTAGTGACCCTACTGATTTGATTGTTAAAAGGGTCGATTGCGTTTGTCGATTGCAGGGAATGGTGTTATCTCCACCCTACGTAAACTGGGCGAGCCAATAGCGCTATCCAATATCTGGTCGCTTTTTGTCCATTTGTAAAGCCTGGAGGAATGACTGGTTTGGTTTAGACGCTTTAGGAAATTTGCTACCCGTGCGATCAGTTTGCGCTTAACAAAACGCTTTTACTGGAGTTAAAGAAAACCCCAAATATTTAAATAATAACCGTAAAAAAATTCCTTTGGAAAAAGTGCATTGTAAGAGCAAGAATTGCGGGTATTATTGTAGTCTCTCGCAGGGCGCGCGCGCCAAGAACGAAGGACATTGGCTATGTGTATTTTTAGGAGTTAGTGTTTATGATGTAAGCTATTTTGTAGGCTTTTTTATTAAAAACTGAATCATTGGATAATGCAATACTAGAGCTCTGATTAGCTTAGCCATCATGGTATATGAGCCATTATACCGTGCTCTCCATATATGGTAACTGTACGCGTCTGCTCAAAATTAAAAACAAGCTGAGAATCGGTTGTTTTTTACAAACAATGTCGAGAAGAACTCTCGATATTTTGTGGGCGTTTGTAATAAAACAATTATTCCACTCGCGCGGCTTGTTGGATATGAAATGGTAAATAATTGACAAGTATCACGTCGTGGATCATTATACGTAGCCCACCTACCCCTCCCCTAAGCCAACATTTTGCTCTAAGTGAGAAGTAAGTGTTAATGTTGGCTTAGGGGAGAGGTAGATGGGCAGTTTCTCAGAAACGTATAATGATCCAACGTCATTCGGTGATTGCACCCATCCAAAGACGACTTGTGGACGTAAAATTCTATTCCACGAATATGCTGCAAAACTAATCAATCCTGAAAATCTCCCCCTTCCTCACGAAATTCTTACTTTGGCACAGGACCGCAACGGTCGACTGTTGACACCACTGGGAACCCCCATGAGCGCCTCAGCCGCGTAGAGAGAGACCCATCCACAACATCAAGAAACCTCGTATTTTGTTTTAACTTTTTGCTTACTATTAGCAGGTCCAAAGACTGATACAGACACCAAAATGGATGTTGATGTTCCCAGTGAAAAAGAGGATCCTGAGAAAGACAGTGAAGGCAAAGAAAATAACGATAATAAATCTGACGAAACAGAGCCAATGGATGTTCAAGAAACTGGCGAAAAGTCTTCTGAAGATGGCAAGGATGGCGAACAAAAGAAGCCAGTGTTTGAAGCGGAGGAGAAAGACGATGATAAAACTGTTGACACAGCTGATAAGAAAAATGATAATTCAGGAAAAGGTGAAGAAAAAGAGGAAAAGGAAACGACTAAGGAAACAGAGAGTGGTGAGAGTGAAAGTGTAGAGCAAGGTGACGTAATTGATAAAAAGGAAAATGAAGGAAAAAAGGAAGTTGAGTAAGTTGAAAATTCTTCTGATGAGGCTGACGGTAAGAGGGATTCTGATCAAACAGATAAAGCACCAGAAGAGAAAAGCGGAGAGAGCGAGAAAAAAGAAGAAGAGTTAGAAACCGATAAAACTAATGATAAACCTTCAGAGAAAATAGACTCTGATCAAAAGGAGGGCAAACCGGCTGGAGATGCTGTAGAATCAGATAAAAAGGCAACTGACAATACACCAGAAAAGACCGAATCGCCTGCGAAAACAGAGCAGGCCCCTATTAAAACTGATCCGGTAGCAGTCCCTAAACAGGAGAAATCTACTGAGAGATCGGCTGGACTGAGTAAGCCTGCCAGTGCAGCTAATGAACAGCAGCGGTTCATGTTTAACATTGCCGATGGTGGATTTACTGAGCTGCATACTCTGTGGGAAGTGGAGGAGAAAAGAAAGTGCGATGATATCTGGTGGAGATGTCATGATTACTGGCTTCTGGCCGGAGTTGTTATGGATCCTGAACACAGTTATTGAAGTAGTTACTGTATTATTCCTTTTATTCATTCCCATCCCATTTTGTGGTCTAAGTTATGTATTGGGTATCCAGATTTAAAATATTTGTTGAGTCTAACTACATGGCATTTGATCAATGACATCAAAACGTTTGTCCGCTACTTGCCGTTCGAGGTGTTTTACTAGAGAGTTTAAGCTTCACGTATACAGCAAACGGCAAACGTCAGATTCAAGTTGAGGATTTCTCAAAATAGAAAATGAGTAGATAAAAAGTGCTCAAGTTAATACTTATGGATGAAAAATTGCGTGAAACACTAATTTATGTGTAGAAATAATTAACAGTAAACGACAAGTAAAGCGGAAACTTGGTCACGTGGTACAAATTCGCGTTTGCCGTTTGGCGTAAACGCGATGCGTTTAACCTCTCTACTTATGGATCCCTGTGGTGGGGGGATAGAAGGGAACGTTCTCTCAGGCGTGTCTTAGAAATTTTCATTCTGCGGTTTTTAAAGTATCCTGCAGTGTGTGAACGGTCAGGATTTTAAAAAAATTTCAGCTCTTTCCCTCGCCTAACCCTGGACCCGAAATAGCCTGGCCCCAGTTGTTCAAACGTTGGATAGCGCTATCCACCGGATGAATCAATTTTTAGCGGAAAAGTATTAGGGGAGCCAAATGTGTCAGCCAGTGGATAGAGATTTATCCAGCGGATAGTACTATCCATCGTTTGAACAACTGGCGTCTGATTGAAGGGTATGTGCTGTTTGGACTTATTTGTTTTGTAATTGGTTGTTTGTCTACCCTCAAAGCACTTAAAAGTTCTTAAGAACTCGTTAAAACGTGTCCGTGCGTTCCAAATCGAATTAGAACTTGGAAGTGTTGGTTTTTAAGGAGAGGAGAAAACCGGAGCACCCGGAGAAAAACCTCTCGGAACAAGCGAGAGAACCAACAACGAACTCAACCCACATATGACGTTGACGCCACGATTCAAACCTGGGCCACATTAGTGGCACTCGGGTGCTCTCACCACTGTGCGTTCGCCAGCCTTGTTCCTCAGCTGACAATAGCCTACGTTCGATATATCAACTCCAATGCTTTCTTGTTTGGTTTTCTTTGTGGTCAGGTCTCCTTTGGGAATTACCAGACTAACATCGTAAACATTTTGCAGTTTTTTTCGGAAAGCCTCTTAGTCATATTAGAATTCTGATATATCGAACGTTGGCTTTTGAGTAGAAGGTGCAGTTTATAGAGTAGTGCGGAAAACAAAAAAATGCTGAAAAAATCCAGCGGAGACAAAGTCATTTTATCTAAAACTACAACCATCCGAACTGCGACTTAAAATTGTTTTATAATAGAATATTGTATAAAATTTCTCTACTTTTGTGAGATTGCGAAACTTTGTGAGAGTAGGGTATTTTGTTTCTCCTTGACATTATCCCTCTTTCAGTCACGGTTATGGCAGATGGCAGGATATCGCTAATGATCGCAAGTTTGGGGTGGTCAATGATCCGTTCAAAAATGGTAAGTTGTTGGAACAGCATCTGTAATGAAATTAGCAGCCAAGAGTTATCAAAACTCGCGTGCCTTTAATTTTAAGTGGTAAGGCTGTCATTAAGAGCCGGGAGGCGGGGACTCCCCCCGGCTGTTATGAACGTGGCCCCCGGCTAGTCGCGTAGGAAAATTGAAGAAAAATAGAACCAAAAGAAATCCCTAGCTGTTTGTTTCCTTGCCTACCACTTATTGTATTTATCCTGCAACTTGAAATCTTAGTGACATCCCTGAAGGTGTACTGGTAATAGTTAAGGAATTGACTTGCAGCAAGTCGACTGCGTGAGTGCCGAAGGCGCGAGCGAAGCAAGCGAACGAGAGCGGCGAAGTCGCGAGACGAGCAACGTAAGTTAAGAAACAAGTCGACTTCGTGATTGCCGAAGGCGCGAGGCGATGCGCGAGCGTCGTACGTTGAGAAGTCTAAGGTAAGGAACAGTCAGTGAAGAGACGTTAGAATAAGTACGGCGCACGTTAACCAGTTTCAACTCAGACCACGCTAACATTACCACTAAAACAAGTACTTATCAACCCAGTCCAGACTTCTTTTGCTTATGTTATACCTTAGTTTGTTTCTATTGCAGTCTCTCTGGAGTACAAGAACCGCTTTATTGCGCGACGCTTTAAGGTTTGTTCTGCTGATATTGTTCCCAATCTTGTGTGTAGACATCAAATAGGTTTTCATCGTAAATTTCTGTGGGTTTCAGGGATAAATGACCAGTGACTGTGTAATATTAAAATCTGTACCTTATCAACAAAGATTGCTTTGGCAATTGGTCATAGGCAATTTAAAAGTATTGATCACTGGGGCATACAGAACTCGCTGCAATGATTTGCTTGAGGTACCGCCAAACAATAGCTTCCTAATGCCTAATGCCCAAAGCAACCTTTCTTGAGTCAGCGATATCCCCAAATCCTCAGTCTTAAGTCTGAGTTTTAAACCATCAAATTTAGCCCTCTGTCAGTGGCATTGCTTCCTTGTTTCCCCCTGTACATCTCTTTTATGCTAATTCAAGCACTGGTGTGGTCATAATTGAAACTAGAAATTCAGTTAAGGAATTAGAAACCTGAATTAAGCTCTTAGACTGGTTCGACAGAGGAAGACAGTGCGTACACTAAGTGATACCGTCACAGTCCACAGCAAGTTTATTGACGTTATTGTAGCGCACTAGTGTGCTTTTCTTGTGTTGGCATAGTTCACGCCTTGTGTTGGTTTGAGCATCTCGCAATTGATCTCCGTGAATGGCACCCTTGTGAATTATGTGCTGTTTTGTTTTAAGTTGTTAGAACAAGCGCTTGTAATAGAAGAACAGCTGAGACGAGCCGATACCATGAAACTCAGGCAAGATGCCAACCACCCTGCCATGGCTTTAAATGCAAGGTAAGAATGAAACCAATCTGCAGGAACGGTGTTTTAGCACCTTTTTCGAGAACTGAGATACAATGTGCAGTCATTTTTTGTCTCTGTTCGGTAGATTTGCGGAACTGGAGTGCTTAGCAGAAAGTCACCAGCATTTGTCCAAGGAGTCGTTAGCAGGAAACAAACCTGCCAATGCTGTACTTCATAAAGGTAATCTTTCACACAGAACGTGTAGTAGCTTATGGCTTCAATAGCCTGTGAGTTGGCTGTCTGTAAGGGGAGGGTGGAAAAATGGGAACCATTAGAGGTACTTCTTGCTACACTCTTTAAAGCGTTTGTACCTATTCATCACAATTAAAGTAGCGTCGTTCAGACTATAAGCCTGTGAATATTGTCGCCTTTCATCGCTCCCCTCTTTTGGACGTTTTGTGAGAGAATTAAAAAAATGTTAGGCCTGGTTTTAAACCTTTCTTGTGAAAATGAATTTTACCTGCCTTTCGCTCGTGGTGATAAACACTTCATTCAACATAGTGACCCTGTTGTATGATTAATTAAAAGACAAAAAATCACTATATCACCAGTCCTCAATTGTTCAAAAGCTGTATATGGACCTATAGTGCTATCGACAGGATAAATCGCTAATCATAACTATAACAAAATTGTTAAATCTGATCGGCTATCAACTGCCCTGATTTCAGCCTTAATTGGACAGTTTAATAGGACAGCACGCGTCATGCCTAAGTAATTGGACAGAACGCGCCATCACGCGCGCGCTTAAGTGGCTTTTTTTTTTCACTGTTTTGATTTAAAAAATAGCCTATTACATCACTAATTTTGTTAAAGTTATGATTAATTGGTAACAGAACTTCGTGTCGTCCAATTCGGTCTGTAATCATACTCGTGATTAAACAAATCGGATTCCCGCTACGTGGTCGTCCGATTTTGTTAATCACTCGTATGATTACAGACCGAAGTGGACTCCACTCAGCCCTGTTACCATTACTAACCAGGCAGTAGGTACTTGTTAGTGAAAACGATTGTGATATCCTCTGAATAGTTATTTATCCAGTGGATAGGACTTACCATCTTCTTAACTTCTAGGATGTAACAGACGGACATTTATCGTTCTTGTTTATGTCTGCAGTACTTAATCAGCTGGAGGAGTTGCTATCAGACATGAAGTCGGACGTCAACCGTCTTCCTTCGACACTAGTTCGAATGCCTCCCGTCACTGCTCGGCTTAACATGTCGGAGAGAGGAATTCTCAGCCGTCTAACGAAACGTGGTGAGGGACCACCACCCAATGTCACCATACCTGGAAACACCATCCAGCCCCCTCCCGTTCCAGGAATGGGTTCAGTTACTATCCAGCCAAAGGTCCAGCCCTTAGTGTTGGGCGGTGGCACTATCATGCCCCCTGTACAAATCAAAGCAGGGCCCCTGCACTACACTACAAGCTCTGTGTACCGCGCTCCACCCGTGACAGGCAGCAATGCAACCATCACAGTCCAGCCGCCTCCACCAACTACTCTATTGCTTTCGGCCTCCACTTCCACATCAAGTCAGGCCAAGCCCGGGTTCGTGCAGAATATACCTAAACCAGGCTCTCCGATGATCAGTCATCACGTAAACTCACCCACCCCCACACAGTACGTCACTACTCTTCTTACCAAGCCCGCTGTGACTGCGGCATCCGCTGTACCACAAACAGTGTCGGCTCCTGCCAGCTCTGGAGCCGTTCTTACTCCGGTCATCAATAGCGTTTACAGTTTGAGCACTGGCCAAACCGGAACCGAGTCTCCCCGCAGCGGTACACCCCCCGTTATCCAAGGTGGAATTGGTAAAATGCTGAGCAAGTCTGCCACAGCTCTGGTGGAAAATCAGATCACTTCCATAATACGTAGCAAGGCTTCAGCAATGGGTCTTATTAAGCCAGATACCTCATCTGGCCCCAGTTCTCCATCGGAAACGCCAGCAGCTTCGCCAGGACAAGGTCAAACTACTTCCCAGGCCCCTCAGGAGGAACCCAGCCAGTCGCATACTGTGAAAACTGGGGATACCACTAAGGACAAAGATCCTGATGTGATTTGTTTGGACTAATTTTAATGCTGTCCTAGGAAAACCGAAACACTTGCTTGACTGGTTCTAGTTATAGTTCCTGTTAAAAACGTGCTGCATGACACGTGAGCTTGATTACCGTAGAACCGAACATTGTTAGCAAGTCCTGTCAACCAAGTCAAAATTATCCAAATAATCGGTCATTTGTACAGTTATAAAATATTTTATTGCTGTTGGTTTGAATATTCGATGTGAATTAAATCCTTTTCTTTTTTCGTCCGTGGGAGAGAGGGGCTGAGATGAAATTGTAAAGCTGATGTAACTTATCTGGAGTTCAGCTAATCCATGAGCAACAAATAAATACCCACTTTTTAGAAAAGAAATATCTTTGTTCTTAAGTTCTCTCACTTGCCAAGGCAAGTGATTCCGTAATTTTTTTGTTGAATCAGAAATTTCGTTCGAAAAAGCGGAATACTGTTTCTGTCTTCATTCATACACATTCAATTTTATTACTGTTTTTCGCGTTGTGAACGTCTTGATAAACCCTTAACAGAAAGATTTAATTTTTTTTCTCTTCATAGTATGGACAATACATAACTTCCCTTTAAAATAACTCAAAGTTAACTGTTTTTTTGTGTCTCAAGGGAATTGGCGTCTGTCCCCATCCAGTGCAAAAACGGTGCAATCACCGCTGATTTTTTGTAATCTGGCCGGAGTTAAACGACTATGGCAGCCAAAACGTCAGTTTTTTAAGAGCGAATCTCTGTAAAAACGGACCAGTGATTTTAGATTTAAAAAAATTAATCTCTCTTGTATACTAAGATTTTATTTTTCGGTAATTACAAAATGGATTTCGACGAACAACCAATGAGCCGCAAAATTATAGAAAATGGCCATGAAGTGAGCTAAGGTTGCACAGATAAAGCAATAAAAAAAATCCAGTTTAAGATAAGCCGAGTTTATTTCTACATCTATGCCTTATTTAGTATTTTGACAGTTATACAAAGTGATTCACTCGTTCGTAACAAGTACAGTATCAAAACATGCATTAAATTTAATATGCACCCAGCTTGGGTTAATAGTGCCATTTGGACAAACAAGAAAAACGGCGTTTGGCCTAAACTTTAACGCAGGCTGCCACATGCAGCCCGCTTAACAAGTAAGTTAACATTTTGCTTACTAAACTCTAAGCTAAATATTGCCATAAATAAATAAATAAAGGTGTTAAATTGTATCATATTGGTGACCCTCTTGACCGTCTGTTTGTTGACTCGACCCCAGTTGCCCCTCAGTCTCCAAGGAGCGTTTTCACACGACGTCACGGCGGCCATACAATGAAATGGTGGCCATGTTGGAGTTCCAAACAAATCCTGTGGGAGTTGAACTCTTTTTCTATGTAAACACTTTCTTTTGCTCCGTCGTTGTCGCTTGAGCTCCCTAATATTAACGAGAGAAGCGCGGTCAAGGGAAGCAACTATGCCATGGTCCTCTTCGCACCGGATGCCGTAATAATCTCCCGCAACCGTTCCTTGGTCCCTTACAAATAATAAGAGACGACTGGGGACGAGCCAGGTCTGTTTGGTCGACTCGTGTTAAGGCACCACACGGCAACGCCCATTGAGCTAAAACACGCTCCTTTCTCCAAATTGGCGCCCACCCCCGTCGGTAAATCTTGCAAATAAGCAGTCTATCCCTAATAAACGCTCTGCCCTCCTACTACCCCTCACTGTTCCATATGTTAAGGATTTTGCATCCTTTGTTAATTCAATCGTCTTAGTATCTTTTCAGGAAGTGTCGGTTGTGTGGGCGCGCAATCTTAATGAGCGCGCGCTCACAAGTTAAAACAAGCAAAACAACTGAAGTTAAAAAGCGATGTTGCGATGTGCTCAGTTTACCACCCACGTTCAAACCTGTTAACAGCCTAATTTGTTGCAAGACAGGTTTGATGTGGGTTGCAAAACGCGCGATATCGCTATTCAACTTGTTGTACAGCAATGTTGCAAGACAAGTTGCGCGTTTTTTGTTGCCCGTTTTTACGCACCTTTACTTATTTAATTGACTTATGCATTTAGTTCGTTATTGAACGCATTACATTTGCTTTGGGTTGTTTTCCTACTCATACACATTGTCGGTAATTGTACTGAAATTGTGGGTGGCTCCTCGTAAAATGTTCTACAATGATTGGTATGCAGGAGTTAAGGTGGCTCCGTAATTAGTACTAGAGAATTTTGCTGTGACAAATTTTCCGTCATAACTTCTTGGTTTTTAACGCGATGACTGCGAAACTTTACAAAAAAAACAACAGATATCATTCGGCAATAATACGAAATATTCCGATTTCATTGATGGTAAATATTTCTTGAGAAATTAGCGCTTAAAAGGACCCTACTGTTCAAAGAAAATCGCGTCTAGTAAAAAATTTTGCTGATATTTTTTACTGAAATTTCTGGTATCGGCTTTCATTGATATAATAAATATGCCAGAGGAATTTCACCAAAATCGTTGGAGCAGAAGTCCGTGACTAAAAGTGGCTCAAAATTCAGCTGTGAAATTGTTTTGGAATTTCAAAAATAAATTACTATCAGGGAGAAGGAGCCACCAGTTTGAATTTTCGGGACAAGCAAATTCAACGTTTACTAATTCTTAAAACAAAAGCCGATTGCCTATCGTGCTATTCTTTAAAAAGTACTTTTTAGTTTTAGAAGCACTATAAATTGCTCCAAACCTTGCTCTGAAGTAGAATAACTTGTTCTTCGACAGTTTTAAAATATCCCTTGGCAGTTTTGGCTCAAACTCCTGCTGCATACATTTTCATGTATTGCAATGCAATTTCAACGACTTTTACTGCTGTTCGTTGCTTCCAACTCAGGAAAAATGTATTGAGATTGGACGCTACCTCGTATCAGAGGTCAGATAGAACTCTCCAGCACGTTTGTTTATGACCACAAAATGAGCACGAGCGGCAGTTCTGCGAGAAATTCGCACCTCACCCAGGGGGGACGAACGACAATGATGACCATGCCTGTGAACCGAATAACATCACAGTGCAAAATAAAATTATCGCAAAAATACTGCCCGTGAATAAATTTGCAACTCTGAAATTTTTGTCACTCCTTCCTTCAATGAATGGGTATTTTTTTTCTTGATTATTATGTTTTGCTCTGCAATACATGTTTATACAGATCGGTTCACAGACATGAGCATCATTGTCATTCGTCCCCCCTGGCTGAGGTGCGAATTCCTCGCAGAGCTGCCGCTCGTGCTTATTTTCTGGTCATAAACAAAGGTGCTGGACAGTTCTATCTGAGCTTCGATTCAAGGTAGCTTACAATCCCAATACCTTTTTCCTGAATTGGAAACAACGTACAGCAGGAAAAGCCGTTGAGGATGCATTGTAATACATCAAAATGTATGTAGTAGGAGTTTGAACCAAAACTGCCAAGGGATATTTTAAAAATGTCGAGGAACAAGTCATTCGATGTCAAAGCAAAGTTTGGAGCGATTTATAGTGCTTCTCAAACTGTAGGGTCCTTTTAAGCGCTAATTTCTCAAGAAATATTTACCATCAATGAAATCGGAATATTTCGTTTTATTGCGGAATGATATCTGTTGTTTTTTGTAAAGTTTCGCAGCCATCGCGTTAAAATCGAAAAAGTTACGACGGAAAATTTGTCACAGCTAAATGCTCTTGTATTAATTACGGAGCCACCTTAATGAAGGCGAAACCAATTGTGGAATTGAACACATTTTGGCATTTTACTGAAGAACAGTTACGACTTATAGATATTTCAAGTAACAACAATTTGCCGTCTGCCCTGTTAGAATTTCCTTGCTCCCCTTTAGTTAATAACACATATAACCCGTAAAGCCCCAATATCCACATTCAATTTATTTGCACTGATCTCAACACATTTCCTTAAAAAATAAGTTGTGATAATTTGATACAAGATCAACGCATCTTTCCATTTTGTTTTGATATTGTTAGAAGAAACTTGATGTTGATCACTTTCGGGACCTAAAGGGTGGAATTTTACAGATTTTGAGAGATGTTCAGGAACACAAGAAGTTGAGTTGAACGCGGTTTATTTATTGCTTCTTTACAGCTCGTAGAACTCTACTAGTTGAGTCTTCAGATGAGATCCTTAAGTGAATCAAGTTTAGCTTACAAAGCGGTTGTATTTATACTGATCTGAACAATAAAGTTAATCGGTTTTTAGCAAGGCTACGTAGTATTCATATGCAGAAAGAAGGTGTTAAAGCAAGGCCGTTTTACACGGCACGATTTTTGGTCAAGACTATCGTGCGCGACTAGCATACGTCATGACTTCACGACAGATCGTGTTGTGTTCATGCACACAACATTCGTACGACACATGTGGATGTCATAAGTGAAAATTGTGCGCGTGTGGATGGTCAAAAGTGATGACGTATACTAGTCGCCCACGATATTCGTAAGCAAAAATCGTACCGTCTAAATCGGCCTTAGGAGGTGCTAGATCTGATAGAACAAAAGAAACCAAAATTTAGTTGAATTCAGCTGCGCGTGGAAAAAAATGGGCAAAATTCGAGATATCTCTATATCCAAATTCCTATACAAGAAACTAAAACAATGGTTTGAAAGAAACCTAATTTTCCTAAGATTCTGTCGAAAGAACGTCTAGTTTGAAATTATGAAAGTAAGTAAAATTTAGCTGAAAATGGCCCAACTGAGAACAAAGAACTCAAAAGGTGTTGGGTCACGTGGCACTAAGCTACATTTAATGAGGTATGTAAGGCTGATTATTATTCCAGTTTGGAAGCAAAAGTGAGAACTAATTTCAGTTTTAAGCAAACGGTCTTCGTTTCGAAAATTGCTTAATATTGTCCTTTCCACAGCTAAAAACACCTACTAAGCAAAGTAATTATTTCTATCTAACGACCTTGTTTTTGTGTTTGTGAAATAAGCTTGAAGAGGTGTGTCTTAAAGTTAATTAAAACTTAACTATCAAGGTCAGCTTACAAGCTAAATTTGAGCAAATATCAAACCAAACCGTCCAACTACT